GGGGGGAAAGGAGTAAAGCTCCTTCTGATTCGGCCAGTTGAAACTGCGTGCTATGGAAGGATGTGAATGGCTTGCCGAACTGCACAATGAGGGGGGGAAGGGAAGAGGAAGTGTAGAGAGGAGGAGTCAGCGCTAGCAGGCTAACAGCAGCAGGAAGACGAGGCCCACTGCTGTTGCCATGTCGGTCAGTTGGAACTGCGTGTTCTGGAAGGATGTGATTGGCTTGTCAAACTGCACGCGTGGGGGAAGAGAGGTGGGCGGAGAGGGGTTGAAGGGGGCGGTGCAGTGGATAACAAGGTGGGAAATTCTCTCCTGGCCATGTTGGCTTTTGAGTCGACTCAAAAGTCATTTAAGGGGGGCAGTGCAGTGGTTAAAAGGTGGGAAAAGCTCTCCTGCCATGTCGGTTAGCTGGAACTGTGTGTTATGGGAGGATGTGATTGGCTTGCCAAACTGCGTGTGGGGAAGAGAGAGGAAGAGAGGAGGGAAGAGGAAGAGGAAGAGGAGTGGAGGGAGGAAGGAAAAAGAGGAAAAGGGATGGGGATAGGAAAAAGAGGAGGACGGGGAGAGGAGAAGAAGAGGAAGAGGGGTGGTGGGAGGAAAACGACGAGGAAGAGGGGTGGCAGAAGCAAGCCTACCTGTTTCCTGTCCGTTGCATACTGCTGAGCATACTCGAGACAGAACTGCGCCCCTCCCACACTGCACAGAAGAGGTAGCACAGACGGGTGAAGAGAGTGAAAAGGGGAAGGGCACTTGCATGCTGCCTGCCATCCTGTCTGCTCTGCTCCATTGCATGCTGCTGAGAACACTCGAGGCAAAACTGTGCCTCTCCCACACTGAACCGCTGGCATGGCAAAGCGTGGTGGATAGGGAGGGAAGGAATGGAAACGTATTCTGAGGAGCCGCAAACGGACGGACGAGATTCCCACACAGTTGACTTTTGAGTCGACTCAAAAGTCAGCCGCAAACGGACGGACGAGATTCCCTTACAGTTGACAGACAGAGGGACCGATAGAGAGATTCAAACTCATAGCGGGATAGCAACAAATCCTGAAGAGGACACTCTAAACTATCTGAACAAAGTTCACAGATGGAGGGAAAGATAGACAGCTGGGGGAGAAAGCGTAAGCGTTTGGAAAGACAAAGTTCCACGTGCGCACAGGAAGCAGAGTGAAGGAAGGGAGAGGTGGGGTGAGACGAGGCGGGGTGAGGAGAGGTGTGGCACTGTGGGGTGCGGTGAGGTGGGGCGAAGAGAGGGACCCACCCACCTGCATGCCCCGATGTTCACCCTTCCCCCATCCAGCCCAGTCATTGCTATTCGAAAGCCGTTGCCCCTCCCCCCAATAAGGTTTGCTGCTGGAACCTTCACGTCTTCCAGAATGACCTGATAAGGAGACAAAGGGACAAAGGGAAAAATGACCTTTGAGTTGACTCGAACATGCAGGCATCCTCACGTCTCCAGAATGACCTGTCAAGGAGACAAAGATGTGAAGGGAAAGGAGAAGACCAGGTGCAAAGGGCCGAAGGCGAAAAAGAGGGTTGATTCATATGACTCAAACATTGTTGGCACCCTCACAAGTCACGTCCTCACAAGACAGTGAGGTGAGGTGAGGTGCGATGAGGTGCGGTGAGGTGCGGTGAGGTGCGGTGCATCAGTAACCAACTGGGCCCTACTCACCGCAGCAGTGGGTTCTGAGTTCCAACCGAGCTTCTTCTCCAGCTGCCCGACTTATAGCCCAGCAGTGGGCTATGTGAGGTGTGGTGCGATGCTGTAAGGTGAGGTGAGGTAAGGTGTGGTGCATCAGAAACCAGCAGAGTCTGACTCACCGCAGCAGTGGGCTGGGAGTTCCAACCAAGCTTCTTCTCCAGCTGCCCGAATGATACCCCTGGCATGCCCTGAGCGCACACGAACAACCAACAGGGCCAGGAGCAGCGGTAGGATATGGAGCACGCACAGGAGCGGTAGGATATGGAGCACGCACAGGAGCGGTAGGATATGGAGCACGCACAGGAGCGGTAGGATATGGAGCACGCACAGGAGCGGTATGATATGGAGCACGCACAGGAGCGGTAGGATATGGAGCACGCACAGGAGCGGTAGGATATGGAGCACGCACAGGAGCGGTAGGATATGGAGCACGCACAGGAGCGGTAGGATATGGAGCACGCACAGGAGCGGTAGGATATGGAGCACGCACAGGAGCGGTAGGATATGGAGCACGCACAGGAGCGGTAGGATATGGAGCACGCACAGGAGCGGTAGGATATGGAGCACGCACAGGAGCGGTAGGATATGGAGCACGCACAGGAGTGGTAGGATATGGAGCACGCACAGGAGCGGTAGGATATGGAGCACGCACAGGAGCGGTAGGATATGGAGCACGCACAGGAGCGGTAGGATATGGAGCACGCACAGGAGCGGTAGGATATGGAACACGCACAGGAGTGTGCCACAGGATATGGAACACACATGCACTTGTTGAGAAGGTATAACCTTCAGTGCACATAAAGGGGTACAAAAAAAAAGGAGGTATACCCCTCAGAAGGTACAAAAAAAAAGGGGTTCATATGGTGAGTGCACACGAAAACAGTTACACAATCCTTCAGACGACTCTGAACCGTATCCCACCCCTTCCAAACCCTCGGCTCATCTCACCTTCTCCACCATAAAGCACGATATTCCTTTGGGCCCCTCCCCATCCGTCCGTGCCATCACCACATACACATCAGCAGCTGTTGCCCCGCTGATGAACGCCTGGGGCGGGATCAGGGGAACGAGGCAGAGAAAACGGGCATGAGGAAGAGTTTTGAGGCGCCTCAAAAGTCGCCTGGGGCGGGATCAGGGGAACGAGGCAGAGAAAACGGGCATGAGGAAAAGGTGGACGGCAGTGACTAAGGCAGGGGTGGCAACCGTTGGTTGCTCCACTGATGAACGCCTGGGGGATCAGAGAGAAGGCAGAGAGGAGGTGAGACAATGCGTGAGAACGGAGGTGAGAACGGAGGTGAGAAAGGAGGTTCAATTGGGAAAGAGGTAGGGAGGAAGCGCGGCAGGCAGGGAGGTAGGGAGGGCGGTACCTTGGATCCATTCAGAATGTAATCCGTAGAGCCAGTGGCCTGCCTTGCCGTGGTCTGTACCAAGGAGAGATATGGAAAAAAAAAGTAGAGAGAGAAGAAAGCGAGTTTTGAGTCGACTCAAAAGTGGCCTGTATGTACCAAGGGGAAAGATGGAACAAAAAGTAAAGAGAGAAGAAAGCACTTACAACAGGTGGAGAAGACACAGAGACACATGAACGCATCTTGAGCCAACCAGCAGCATGGTATGTTAATGCCATGCCATGCCATGCCATGCCATGCCACGCAGTCCCCATGTCTCAACTTGAGAGCAGCCACATCACTGCCTGCCGCTGCCAGGTTCCGTAAGGAAATAAGAGGAAAAGAGGTCCTGCCCATGCGATGCCATACCATACCGTACCATACCAAACCATGGCAAACCACCCAGTACCCATTCTCACTGTGAGAGCAGCCGCATCACTGCCTGCCGCTGCCAGGTTCTGTTAGGCAGTAGGAGGAGAGCAGGTCCTGCCCATGCGATGCCATACCGTACCGTACCATACCACACCATGCCATGCCACCCGGCCTCCATGTATCATCTCACCTTGAGAGCAGCCGCGTCACTGCCGCTGCCGGGTTCTGTGAGGCAATACGAGGAGAGCAGGTCCTGCCACACCACAGGAAGGAGAGAATGCGTTCATGGAATGCTGGTGTTAACGAAGCGATGGGACAGCGATACAGAGCAGTTCAATACGGTGAAACGCAGTACCACCACCCACCATTGTTGCGAGCGCTGGTAGCCACTTGTGCCGCTGCTCCTCCGACCCGAACCTGATTCACTCCGGTTCACACACTCACACACACACACGCCGGTTTTGCATGGGGTGAGCAACAAGGGAAGCACAATGCGAGAGAAGAGTGCGCCGAGGAAAGGACACCTTTAAACAACAAGGGCAACAGGAACATACAAAGAGTTAGCAGATGGACGGGAGGAGGTAGAAAAACATTAAGGGTGAGGCTTTTGAGAATTGTAAAAAACCCATGGTAAGAATGGGTGAAATCGTTGCCTTCACCCATCCATCCCTACAAGGGTGAAGGCAACGATTTCACCCATTCATACCACGCCACGCATACCCATCCATCCCTGCATGTCATCACGCCCATCCCTGCCACGTCAGCCCATTTCTGCCACGTCATCATATTCGTCCCGTCCCCCACCTGTCAATGATGCTCGCATTCATGTTGTGGATCGTCAGGTACGCCGTCGTGCTGACGTCAGCATGCGCCAACGCCTCAAACACCACTGCCCCGTCGGCCCGGCCCAACCTGCTCATGACACGAGGCAGAGGGGCAGCAGAACGGATGAGGCACGCAGCACGAAGAGAGCAGCGAAGCCCGGCCCTTCTGCCTTGCGCAGCACGTCCACTCGGAAGTGGTGCTGCTGGTGAGCGGCGCTTTGACAAGCGGACCGCTCACCCCACTTCACCCCGCCTCACCCCACCTCACCCCGCCTCACCCCACTTCACCCCGGCTCACCCCAGCTGACCCAGCAACACCACTCACCCCGAACCTCCCACGTCTTCTTTCACGAAGAGAGCAGCGAAGCCCAGCCCTGCCGCCTTCCGAAGCACGTCCACTGGGAAATGCTTCCGCGCGTCCCACTCTGCTGCACGTGGCAGCAGCTCATTGGCTGCAAATTCCTGCTCGCAAGGGATGGGAGAAAATCGGCGAAGGGGAAGAAGAGAGGGGGGAAATGGGGGGAATGAGGGGAGGGGGAAGAGAGGCGGGGGAGGGGAGAGGCGGCGGAGGGGACGTGCGCCCCCGCCGTGGACGCGTCAACTGCTCTATCTTGGGTAGAGGAAAACCTTGTGAGTGATTTTAGAGAATTCTAAAAAAAATTGATCGACTCAAAAATCGACTTATCACACATATTCTTGGGTAGAGGAAAACCGCGGCCTTCCAATTCCGAATTGGGAGTCTCACCTGAGCCCACGCGTGTTCTCCTGAGCCAAGGCGCGGAAGTCGTGCTGGTGGGGTGTGAGGTCGTGCGAGGAGGTGATGGACGCGTGCACCCCCGCCGTGGACGCGTCGACTGCTCTATCTTGGGGATTGAAGAACAGCGGAAAACCAATTCTCACCTGAGCCCACGCGTGTTCACCTGAGCCAAGGCGCGGAAGTCGAGCTGGTGGGGTGTGAGGCCGTGCGAGGAGGTGATGGACGCGTGCGCCCCCGCCGTAGACGCGTCGAATGAGCCGTCTGGCGGCGACGAGAAAACGGGGGAGGAGGAGGAGAAAGCGGAGAAAGCGGAGCAGGAAGCTGGGGAGGGAGAGGAGGAAGCGGAATGATACAAGGCGGAGGACAGCAGTGGAGGGATGGATGATGGCGAATGATTGAGGTGGCGTGGTGAAGGGTTGCAAAGTGCTGGCGACGGGCTGCAAATCGCTGGTGACGCTCGCTGAAGGAGCTGAACCAAGGAGCGGCGCGCCATCAAGGGATGCTGATACTACTACCTGCGGTGGGTGAATCACCACTCGTTTCTGAATTAACCCTCTTAGGACAGAACGTTGCTGTGTTCACAACCCTAAACTAGTACTTCTCCCTCTACGAGCAATCAGTGATAAGAATATGCGGCTCGAGGGTCATGGAAAATGATGGGTAACTTCTTATGCCGCTAAACGGGGTACGTAGCAGCGCGTAGATTCTACTAGGCTCTGGTCTCGCGCGAGCCACGGGCACGAGCAGCGCGCTTCGCTGGAGAATTGTTGAAGGAGAAGCTACCACGAGCAACGCGCGACGAGGACTCGTGTCTCGCGACGGGAAAGCTCAGCGCAAGACCAAAATCTAAGAAATGCATCGTGAATTTCGAAGATATATCATCTGGGATGTGTGAGTGTTCCTAGAGGCTTGGTAGGACTCTGTCCGAAGCTGCCTGTGTATGGCTTGACGAAACCGTAGCAAACGCTCCCTTTTCGGGAAGCAGTTTCAGGCCAATGAGATATCGCCAAGCGTTTGCGAAGCGATCGCGAAATTTACGGGAGGTTAAGTAACGACCTAAGGTGTGGTAGGTATTGCCGAACCTGACGGTATCGCTGATGACATGACAATGTCCCCTGAAGCGTGGATCTGACGCTAACACCGTCAGATGTTACGTGAACGAGCTAACCAGTGGTATGCAACCTCGATAATGGCAGTCCGATACCTGTGACATAAGAAAGCATTCAGATAATGAGTAATTTAGCTTCCAAGGCAGCATGATTACATATTTATTTATTATTGGGGTTTCGAGCCAACTGCCTCGTTCATATAACCATTTCAGTACACTCCTATGCACTGCACTGCACGCAGCAATCCAATCCTAGCTCCAGTCCTTGGCGAGAAGCCCCAAATACAAGGCAAGTTGACTGCCCACCAACAGCGTAAGCGGCCCAATTGCCCGCAGCAAGCGAAGGAAAGCAATCTTGGGGGTCAGATTTGCTCCCTTGGCAATCGTCGCCATGAACCCATCTCCTCCTGATTCACCACCACCGCCTCCTGATGCCTGAGCACCATCTCTGGACACGTCTGTGAATGATCCAATCCGAGGGACACCAGTGCTGCCACCAGCATCCATTAGCGAATCATGTGACCCTTGTTGCCTGGACGCCCTTAGCTGCGCCCCCCCAGGTCTAGAGATGTCCAACGGCACGGATGCATGGAGTTAGGGATGAAAGGAGATGCATACAAGGAGGAACACAGAAGTTGGTTAATGGTTGTGCAAGCGAAAAGGAAGCAAGATATCTGGCATGGGCTGCCCCTGGTAGCACCTGGAATCCACCATATAGACTTGAGAGTTGTGAGGGTCGACCGCCAGAAAAAGCAGCCCAGGCAAAGCTCACCTCCTGTCGGATGTGACTAAAGAGGACATGGTGTCAGGGAGTCTCGGAGTCGCCCTCCTGACAAGCACCATGTTGCCGTCCGTGTCAAGCATAAACTCCACCTCACCTTCTTCCTCCCCGTCTGCTTTCAGCTTTCAGCCCCATGCCATCCCAACAAGGAACGGGTACAGTCAGACCCTACCTTCTATCAGATGTGATAGACGAGGGAATAGTATCTGGAAGTCTCGGAGTGGCCCTCCTTACAAGCACCATGTTGCCGTCCGTGTCAAACATGGGCTCCAGCTCCCCTTCTTCATCCACATCTGCCTTCAGCTTAGGCAGTGTCCATGCCTCTCTGCTCGCTGCTGCCACGCGCGCTGCTAACGCTGCCAGGGACGCCCAGGAGACGCCTCGTGAGGGCAGGAGGAGGAAAGCGAGGCAGGAGAGGAGAGAGACGAGGAAATACCTGGGAGAGGGGAGACAGGGAGATGAGGGATGGGGAAGATGTGGGATGGGGAAGATGTGGGATGGACGAGAAGCAAGCGCTGCCAGAGATGCCCAGGAGACCTTGCGAGGGAGGAGGAGGAAGGCGAGACAGGCCAGGAGAGAGAGGGGGAAGTACCTGGAGGCAGAGGAGGATGCAGAGAGAAAGGGAAAGAAAGAGAGAAGGGAAAGGGGTTGGGAGGAGAGCAGCGGGGAAGGGGGAACAAAGTTGAGGTCATGAAGCAGAAAAAAACAAGTTCCCAGGTTGGTGAAACTTTTCCAGGTTCATGCTTCCAGAAAACAAGGACCACCGAAATCTAGAAACGAGAAACAACGCGCCTGCAGGGAGAAAGAAGCGCAAGAAATGCAGCCTTAAGATGGGGGGAAGAATTTTGAAACGAATTTTGAGTCGACTAAGAAATCACCGCAGACATACCAGGGAGGAAAGAGAATCTGGGTGGGCAGCACACACAGCTGCACGTGCACTGACGCTCCCCCCAACGTCGCTTTTTGCTGCTGGTTCTGCTGGGTGTTCTGCTGCTGCATGTAGCTTCCATGGGGGTGGTGGTCGAGGGGAACGGTGATGAGGAGGAATGCAGGCGGGTCGGCGATGGCGTGTGTGCTGTGGATGAAGTTGAAGGATGGGAGAGAGAGCTGCAGACACATGGAATGGAAGAGAGGGGGGAAAGGAAACATGGGGAAGAAGAGATGATAACACACAGGCAGGCAGGCGGGTCTGTGATGGCATGTGTGCTGTGGATGAAGTTGAAGGTTGGGAGAGAGAGCTGCAGACACTCACAAGCAAGAGGGAGGGGAGAACACATACGCACGAACTTTGGGATTAAGATCTGAAATGTCATAAGGCAAAGCTGCTGGTTCTGCTGCTGCTGCCTCTACTGCTGCTGGCTGTGCTGCTGCTGCTGCTGCTGCTGCTGCTGCTGCTGCTGCTGCTTCTGCTGCTGCGAGGCTGCTGTTCCCTCAAGACGTCCCTTCCACCTGCCGCTGCTGCCAGTAGGTAGCCTCTGCATGCCCTGACATCCGAGCTGCGTTCCCTGTCAGTCCCCCTGCCCCACCCTTTCTCTTCAACCCACCTCAATGACATCCCACAAGTCACGGCCACCCATACTGCTGTTCCCTCTGGGCGTCCCCTGCACCTGCCGCTGCTGCCAGCAGGTGGCCTCTGCGTGGCCTGACAACCACACTGCATTCTCTCTTGCCCCTTCAACCCCATCCTTTCCCCCCTGCCCACCTCAAGCACATTCCACGAGCCACGCCCAGCAGCAGCAGCGTCACCCGAGCTGCTGTTCCCTCTGGGCGTCCTCTGCCAGCAGGTGGCCTCTGTGTGCCACCTGCAGCGACACCCAAGCTGCTTTTCGTCTCGCCATCCCCACCCACCCCTCCCCCCCATCCCACCTCAATCACCTCCCACGAGTCACGGCCACCCCAGCTGCTGTTCCCCCTGGGACTCGCCTCCACCTGCCGCTGCTGCCAGCGAAGAGTCTCTGGGTGGCAACCCGCTTCCCCAATCCCCCCCATCACCCACCTCAAGCACATTCCACGAGCCACGCCCAGCAGAAGCATCACCACCCGAGCTGCTGTTCCCTCTGGGCGTCCCTTGCACCTGCCGCTGCTGCCAGCAGGTTGCCTCTGCGTGCCCTGACACTACCAGAGCCTGCACCAAAGGAGATAGGAGCGCATGGGAACCAAACGGGTATGAAGCATGTGCATATAAGCAGGCGCACAGATCACTGCCGCTGCTGCCAGCAGGTGGCCTCTGCGTGCCCTGACACTACCAGAGCCCGCAAAAGGGGCGTCAGGAATGGGGGTGTGAGAGAGGGGGCACGACGAGGCAAGGTTGTCCACATCTTCCCATTACATGCACGCACCACTCTCAGCACCCTAAAAAAAAAAAAGAAAGAAAGAAAGAAAAAAAACCCCAGCACCCATGTCATCATCCTCATGTGAATTCTCATGCGATGCACATCAACATGCACATCCACATGCACATCCACATGCACATCCACATGCACATCCACATGCACATCCACATGCACATCCACATGCACATGCACATGCACATGCACATCCACATGCACATCCACATGCACATCCACATGCACATGCACATCCATATGCACATGCACATCCACATGCACATCCACATGCACATCCACATGCACATGCACATCCACATGCACATCCACATGCACATGCACATCCACATGCACATCCACATGCACATCCACATGCACATGCTCATGCACATGCACATCCACATCCACATGCTCATCCACATGCACATGCTCATGCACATGCGTATACAAATACCGGTCTCAACAGCTGCAGCAGGTGGTTGGAACCTTCCTTTGATATGGCATCCTGATACCTGAAGGGGGGAAGGGAGAATGAAGGAATATGACATTGCGTGTGAGGGAGAGGACAAAAAGAGGACTGTCAGTGTGGTTATGGGAGGGGGGAGGAGAGTAGGTCAACTGTGTGCAGGCAACAGCAGTGATGAGTGTGAGTAAACGGTTGTGAGTGTGAGTAAACGGTTGTGAGTGTGAGTAAACGGTTGTGAGTGTGAGTAAACGGTTGTGAGTGTGAGTAAACGGTTGTGAGTGTGAGTAAACGGTTGTGAGTGTGAGTAAACGGTTGTGAGTGTGAGTAAACGGTTGTGAGTGTGAGTAAACGGTTGTGAGTGTGAGTAAACGGTTGTGAGTGTGAGTAAACGGTTGTGAGTGTGAGTGTGCAGTGAGAGTGAGGGAGAGAGCTCACCTAACCTCCCCGTCCTTGTCCCAGTCCTGGGGAGGAGAAACAAAGGGGAAAGGGGCAGGGGAGGGAGGGAGGAGGGTTGGAACAGGTGGTTTATAAACAGGCAAGTGAACCTTTTGAGTCGACTCAGAAGTCGGGTAGGGAGCAGGGAAGGAGAGCGCACAACAGTTGTGCCTTGTGCGCTGGCATCACAGGGGCGGATGGTGGGGGAGTGGAGCGCCCCTGTTGTGATGCCATCCGCCCCTGTTGTGGGGGGGCATCACAGGGGCGGAGGTGGGAAAAGAGGGGAAGAGGAGGAACGAGGTAGTTCAACAGAGGGCACACATGCACACACGCACGTAGGTCCCCTCGCCCGTTCTCACCACTGCTTGGCCTTGTGGGTTGGCCCCACAGGGGAGGTTGGTGGAGGAGTGCAGCGGCAGGTGCGAAAAGAGGATGAGCGGGAGTGAGGAGACCTGGGCACCTGCAGCAGAGCAACAGTGCAGTGAAGAGACGGGAGATAGGAACAGGGGATGAGAGTGAGTGAGGGGGTCTGGGGGACCTGCAGCTGCAGCAGAGGAGGGAAGAAGAGAAAAAGAGAGGAACAGGGGATGAGAGTGAGTGAGGGGGTCTGGGAGTCCTGCAGCTGCAGCAGAGGAGGGAAGAAGAGAAGAAGAAAGGAACAGGAGATGAGAGTGAGTGAGGGGGTCTGGGGGTCCTGCAGCTGCAGCATAGGAGGGAAGAAGAGAAGAAGTGAGGAACAGGCATGACAACAAGAACAGGTATACAGCAACCCTCACCGCCCGCACTGGCCCCACCCTGAGGAGTAAAAGCACATGAACATACCATGCTCTGGCAGGCTCTGAAGGAATTCCTCCAGCTGCTTCGTGCTGTTGTTGCGCTGCCTGTGCCCATCCATAGCCAAGCCGTTCACCCCCACCACCCTCACGCGCCCACCACCCTCACGCGCCCACCACCCTCACGCGCCCACCACCCTCACCGCCCCCATGAGAGTAACTGACAATACGCATGTCATCTCACCGTGGTCTGGCAGACTCTGCAGGAACTCCTCCAGCTGCTTCGTGCTGTTGTTGTGCTGCCAGTGCCCGTCCATGGCCAGCCCGTTCACCCCCACCACCCTCACCGCGCCCACTTTGGGGGACGTATAAGCATGTGAACTTACCGTGATCTGGCAGGCTCTGCAGGAACTCCTCCAGCTGCTTTGTGCTGTTGTTGCGCTGCCTGCCAAGCCATTTCCCTCAAACCACCCCATTCCACCCAAGCACACCCATCAACCCCACCATACCATGCTCTGGCAGACTCTGCAGGAACTCCTCCAGCTGCTTTGTGCTGTTGTTGTGCTGCCTGTGGCCGTCCATGGCCAGCCCGTTCACCCCCACCACCCTCACCGCGCCCACCTTGTCGTGGAAGCTCAGCGCTCCCACATATCGCTCAAAGCGCACTGCCAGCTGATGGAACAAGGAGAGAGGCGTAAGAGGAGGGGAAGAGGAGGAGGTTAAGACAAAGGCCATTTGTTCGCCGCCACCACCTTCACCGCCCCCACCTTGTTGTGGAAATTTAGCGCTCCCACATACCGCTCGAAGCGCACCGCGAGCTGTGGAAGGGGAGATGAGAGAGGGGGTGGACAGACGAAGGAGGCGATGTCAGGCACATAGAGGATGGGAGGCCGTTCTGCCTCACCACCCTCACCACCCTCACCACCCTCACCACCCCCACCTTGTCGTGGAAATTCAGCGCTCCCACATGCCGCTCGAAACGCACTGCCAGCTGAGAGCATGGAGGGAAGAAGGGTGAGAAAATAAAGTGGGAGGTAGTGTAAGGAGATGAAGAGGGAATAAGAGGAGGGTGAGGCACCGAGGTGTGGCCCGTTCAGTCACCCCCACCACCCTCACCGCCCTCACGTTGTTGTTGAAATTCAGTGCTCCTACACGCCGCTCAAAGCGCACCACCAGCTGATGGAACGAGAGGAGGTGGGCAGGGGAAGAGGCAGAGGAGGGACAGGGCAGAAAGAGGGGCAGACGAGGAAAGGCAGAAAGACGGGGTGCGGGAGAGGTTTGAGATTTCTCAGATCTCCCAACCCTCTCCCATCCAACCCCCTCCTCCCCCCCCCCCCCTCCCTACACCCACCTCATGCTGCTTTCTCTGCGTGCTGCTAAATCCCACGTCTCTCTCTCCTGCCACTTGAGCCAAATCCGTCCGCATGTGCACATTCACCCCGCCCTCCCCCTACCTCTTCCCACTCCTCCCCTTTCCCACCCAGTTCCCCCTTCTCCTTCCACACACGCACCTCATGCTGCTTTCTCTGCGTGCTGCTAAATCCCACGTCTCTCTCTCCCGCCACCTGAGCCAAATCCGTCCGCATGTGCACATTCACCCCGCCCTCCCCCGGATGCCACCTCCCCCACCACAGCCCTCCCTGCACCCACTCCCAAACACTCCTTCCCGGACTAGCCACTCGTTGGGCCCCCTCATTCGCCCCTCCCTGACCATTCTTTGATTCCCTCTCCGCCCTATCCTCCCTCTCCTTCTCCCTCCCTCTCTCTCGCTCCATCTGCTGCCGTCGCCGCCTCTCCCAGGTGTGAGGATCAAGGAAAGGATCGTGCGTCTGAAACACGTGGTGGTAGCGGCTCGCTTCTGCCCGAAATCTTGTATGGGAAAAAAGTGCGGGGGGAAAAGGGAGGGGAGGGGGAGGGAGGGGGGGAAGGTGAGACGAAGGAGGAGGTTGTGAGAGTGTGAAGCGAATGTGGGAGGGTAGATGCGTGAGCAGATCAAAAAAGGGGTTGCGTCTGAAATACAGGGCGGGGCGCTTAAGCACATGGCAGCAGGGGGGAATGAAGCCCATTGTAGCACGTGCCATGTGACATATGGGCACATGGCACATGGGACATGGCACATGGCACATGAGACATGGCACATGGCGCATGGCACATGGCGCATGGCACATGGTGCATGGCACATGGGACATGGCACATGGCACATGGGACATGGCACATGGGACATGGCACATGGCGCATGGCACATGGCGCATGGCACATGGCACATGGCACATGGCACATGGCACATGGCACATGGCACATGGCACATGGCACATGGCACATGGCACATGGCACATGAGACATGGCACATGGCACATGGCACATGGCACATGAGACATGGCACATGGCGCATGGCACATGGCGCATGGCACATGGCGCATGGCACATGGCACATGGGACATGACACATGGCTCATGGGACATGGCACATGGCTCGTGGGACATGGCACATGGGACAGGAGACTTACAGGGGGTAAGTGGCGTCAGCTCCGGACTGGAATAGGTCCCCGAGCGTGACAACGAGGCTCGGGGAGAACCGGAGCACGGAGGCTCGGAAAGCCCGGCGCAGGTAGAGGTCGTTGCGGAGGCGGGCGGTGATGAACTGCGCGTGCAGAGCAGTGCTGGGGAGGAGCTGTGAGGAGTGGGGGGAGATTGAGGGTTGATCAGTGGGGGGCAAGGGCAAAGGGAAAGGGAAAGTGGATTCAGCGAGGGCAGGTAGAGGTCATTGCGGAGGCGGGCGGTGATGAACTGTGCATGCAGGGCTGTGCTTGGGAGGAGCTGGGGGAGGAGGAAGGGGGGGGGAAGGGGGGGATGGGTGAGGGTGGAGGGGGGGAGGGGGGAGGGGGTAAGGGGGAAGGGGTAGGGGTCATTGCGGAGGCGAGCCATGATGAACTGTGTGTGCAGAGCGGTGCTGGGGAGGAGCTGTGGGGTTGCGGGGGGAAGTGGGGAGGAGGATGGGGAAAGGGAAAGTCCGGGGAAGAGCAGGAGAAGGGCAGGTAGGGGGCGAGGGTGGGTGATGAACTGCGCGTGCACGGCGGTGCTGGGGAGGAGCTGGGGGGGGGGGGGCAAGGAGGAAGGGGTGTGTGTGGGGGGCAGAAAGGGAAAAGGGAGTCAGGAGATGAGAATCTTTCGACAGTGTGGTGGTGTGCTGCGAAGAGCACTGGGATTCTGTAACAACGTAGGGTTGAGAGGAGTTGGCGGCGGTTGGTTGTTCATCAAAGGGGGTTGCAGTGGGAAGGATTTGCTAATGGGGAGGCGGTTGCAGGGACTAGTGATCATGCACCAGCCATTGGGAATGACATCAGACGTACGTGGAATGTGTTTAATGCAATGCATCCGATGTCTATGACGCGTATGGAGTGTAGAGCCCACCTTTGGACTGTTGATGACTGCTATTGTCTTGTATTCTCTGGGGGGAATGTACTGACCCTGGAATAACAACACGCAAAGAGAATAAAAATGGCAAGTTTGCAAACCGTCAGATTTCAGTCGAATAAAGGAGATGGATGGAGGATATGCAACCTGCCACTTTTCCAAATTTCCCGTGGATTCGCAAGCAGGGGAGTGTCTAAATAACCGAGTCTGGCCTCTCGAATGAGCATCAGTAAGCTTAGAAGCCACTGAACTGGCCGCTTGATCCCCACCACCTCACCTGAACATCCACCTGGCACTTACATCAATTCCCACCTGGAGCACACTCACCTGGTCGCGTGGAGAAGCTGAGCGGTCGGAGACAGAACTGAATCCACTCGTTGTAAAGAAGGATGAACGACCATACGACGCCGAGCACTGGAACATTCAACTGAAACTTCACCTGAACATTCTCGTCTGGCCACGTGGAGCAGCTGGGCGGTCGTAACCAGAACTGAATCCATTCGCTGTAGAGCAGGCTGATCGTCCACACGACGCCCAGCACTGTCGCCAGCACCCATTGCGCCATGCACGGCGACGACCTTTCTCCGCGGTAACGAGTCCGCTGTAACTAGTCCACTGTAACGAATCCGCTGAAACGAGTCCGTTGTAACGAATCCGCTGTAACGACTCCACTGTAACGAGTCTGCTGTGAACAACGTTTTTGCAACGAAGTCTACAAACGCAAATGACGGGTGAGACTAACCCTAGAACGATAGGTTTGGATTCCCGGTTCTCGAGCTGTGTCTTGTGTTGCGATGTTCCGGAGTAAAACAAACAGGCTTCTAGCTATCTTGTGGTCTATTCTAACGATCGGAACGGTGTGACTGACATAACCAAACCAAAAATTGTGAGACAAAATTGATGACCCAGAAAGGCCTCTGCCAAATTTGACGGAATCCGGAAGTTCGGTAGCTAAGGGCGCGTGTGATCCAAGGATTTTTGTCAAAGTTCGAACTCAAACCGCTTTGCATCGTGGAGAGACATCGCTCAATTGTATCCTACCGTGTAGAACCTTTCTAAAAGTTCGAACTTTGGGAAGTTCGAACTTTGATCACACGCGCCCTAACACCCAACAAGCTCGTCTGAAACTGAGGGTTGATGTGGCGGTTCGGAAACTGAGGGAGGGGGAGGAGCACGCGCTGGAGGTTAGTGTGGTAGATCCTATCTCGCTATCCGCGCAGCACCATGGACAGATTGGTCGCAAGGTGGGTTTTGCCGCGAGAGAGAGAGAAAAGCGGAAGACGGCGGACTACAAATCGCTTCTACAGCGGCATGGGGGAGTGCAGTTCACACCACTCATTGCTGAGACATGGGGATGCTTGGGGGGGAGTTTTGGACGGTGGCTTAAGAAGCAGGGTGACGCGCAGATCGAGATAGCAAAGACGAAAGGGGCGGCGCGAGCTACGGGAAAGGGTTTCTCGGCTTATTTGCTCGGATCGCTCAAAGCGGCTGTGGGTGTGGCTTTGCAACGGGCTCAGGCGCGTGTGATCTTGTTACGCGCTGCGTCGATGATGAGAGGCCCAGAGGCTGTTTGGGTGGAGCGGGAGGATGTTGAGGAGGAGATGGGATGGGATGCTCCGTGGGCGGATGCACCATACTTGGTAGACATGCGGGTTTAGGGAGTGGGTTTAGGGGGGGAGGTTTGGTTCGATGGGAGTGCAGTTGGGGTGCTTTGATGGGAGGGCTTGATGGTGTTTTAAATGTGTGTGCTATTGGGGTTTTCTTGGGGTTGTGTGTGCTACTTTTTCTTCCTTCTTCCCTGTTTTTCTTCCTCCTATCATTTTTCCCCTATTCCCCTCCTTCTTTCTTCCTCTCTCCTTTTTTCTACTCACGTTATTCCTCCTTTTCTCCTCTCTTCCCGTTTCCACTCCTTTTCCTTGCGTAATTATGCTACATTGTAACAGATAGTACCTCGATTGCTATAAAAAAAGCTCGTCTGACAATCTTGGGAACATCAAATGCGCCAACCGCGATATAAATCACCTTTTTATATTGTTTAAAGCCCGAGTCCCAAATTGCGGGCCGCGCGGGTCAAGCTTTTAAAACTTGACGAACTAGTGTTTTCAAGGTTTGAAGAAAAGCGTGCCTGCAATTTGGGACTTTTGGGAACTGAACCAACCCCCAGGGCGAAATACGAGGGCGGGCTGGGTTTGGCGAAAAAAACGAAAAAAGCGAAATCGGAATCTTTCGCCAAAACCCTCACCACAAAAACCCCCTCGCGTCAACCTTTTAAAACTTGTGCAATTTGGGCTGCCGGCTTTAAACAACAATTGTCTGATCCCTAAACGCTCTGAAGGTTACCAAGGTTCTGTTTGACTGCTAAACGCCTATATTATTCAGCACAAAACTACCTTCGTGGAAGAATGATGTATCAATTGATACAAAGCCCCTCCACTTCAGCAGGGGGCTACAGCTTCTGCCGAGCTAATTGCTCAGCAGAGAGCAATTAAATACAGTATAGTTAATTCACAAATCTACACTACTGCACATCAATGGCAACCTTTCCGTTCCCGATTCCCCCCATCCCATGCTTCTCCCTCTGATGATTTTTCTCGGAGATCGTTCCAAGCTACCAAGCAATAGCCATTGGCAGCAGGGTCGGGCTAGGTTCGGACGATTTGACCGAAGCTGTGGGCGTAAGTACGGACATTGGGCTTCTACCCAGACCGGCCATGTGCACGAGCAGCTTCTCCGAATCTAATCCCATCAGCTCCGCGATCGTTCTCATGCCATGAGGAACCTCCTGCGGTTCGGCAGCGTCTGTGCTTGGCACCCGAGGCGCAGGTGATTTGAGATCATAGCCAGAGCTTTCGACGGTGGACGACTCCCGGGAAAGGAGCACGGGGTAGACAGTTGGGCCGGGAAGTGCGGCGTGGTTTGCGGCGGAAGGCGCGGGAAGCGCGGGGAGAGAGGGGCGGAAGAGTGAAGAGACGAGGGAGGACCAGAGGAGAGAGGTATCGACGACGCACACGCACCCGTCCCTGTGGCTTCGCTGCTTCCGGCCCAAACTGTACACTGCGCCGCGCTCACTGCTGCCTATGCTGCTCGCGCTGCTCACGCTGCGCCCACTATCAGAGCTGCTGCTGGTAGCGAAGAGGCGCATATCGGAACTTCTCGACGATGACGACGAGGAGGAGGGTGAGGAGATTGAGAGAGACGGAAGAACCTGCGCCGCGTCGGATGCAGGAACTATCAGCGACTCCTCGAGTTTCGTGGATTTCTCTTTCGGCTCCTCGCGAACGCGATTGCTGAGCGGAATCTCTGTAAACGCGTCGGGCCGGCTCGGCTTCTCACCCGCCGCCGCCGCCGCCGTCGCCGCTACCGGCGCTACCGGCTCGTACTTCTCGTACACGATCGGCGTGGGGAGGTCGTCCCATATTCTGTGCCGCCTCCGGCGCTGCTGCTTCTTCTGCTGCTGCGCGGGCTGCGGCGCCGCGACGCGCTTCGGCGGCTGGTAGAAGTACGGAAGCGGGGAGGGGGAGGGCGGAGGCGGGTTGAAGACGGGGATTTGCAGCAGGCTGGGCCGGGGGAGTTTCCCGAGAGGCGGGTGCGGGTTGGGCATGGCTTGCTCCTCCTCCTCCTCGTATGATTCGTCGAGGAGATAAGAAAGACGCGACGCCCAGTATTGAGCCATTTGAGATCGCTCTGGGTCGTTTCTAGCAAAGCTAAATGCCGCCGACGCTAACTTGCTCTGAGAGAGGCGGAGTTTGAGATTCGGGTTTAATGGCCCTCGGAGACCACGGCTGCTTCTGAGGAGTCTCACGATGCAGCTCAACGCACAGGAGTGTTGAAGCAAATGTGGGGAACTAGGTCGAGTAGGCTCGTCAAGTGGAGACAGCTAGATGCAGTGCTTGTGTTATGCGCAGAGTGGAGTGCCTTTTCAGCAAGTCTTGGTGCGGAACTTGTGCTTCTTGCTTGAATCGCAATGGGCAACAGAAGACGTAGAAGGATGGTGCTGCTGGTCAATGCCTTGTCTTGTGTGGTGGAACGATAGCTGCGTTGTTGAAAAAAGTTGTTCGTGAAGAATTTATTTGTAGGGTACAGCAGGAGAGGAGGCTACATGCGCCCCCCATTGGCCAACAACTCTCACGTCCTCCCACCCCACACAACCACTGGCGTTTCCCAGGAGCCAATCTCGCGGCGGGCCGACAAATTCAGTTCGGCCTCTGTTGCCACGCCGAGTCGGCCACCAATCAGCGTGCCCCCGTGGAGCCATCCGATCTGATCAGGAACATTTGCATCTCCGAGACGCGCATGCTCTTGACTCCGAACCGCGGGTAGGCTGTTCTGATCACTGATGCTTCCCAGGAGAGCTCTTCTGCGGCGCGGGTGGATCTGCCAGGGGGGTTCAGGTGGGGACCTGCGTTCTTGGGAATGCCGTAACAGTGGAGATCGAAAGCCGACAGCCGGTACTCGCGGCTCGCTTCAGGTGCCCCCAGGGACCCGCTGTTAGCCAATGGGTGCTGGAGCTCCTCTCCCAACATTGTGGAAGGTGTCTGTCGCCTATGAATGAGGAGGAAATGGGTTTTCAGTTGACAACGCACGGTTTTCGAAACTGCACGCCAAATGCGCAGTTTCATCGCTTCTGGGGCAGGGTTACTGCCCGTTTTTCGTTTACAGCGCAGAGTTTGTGCGATTTCTACGCAGCTCGACGCTCATTCGTCTAAATATCCGAAAACGACAAGCCTGCAATGTAACAGAAAATTTATTTAACTCAGTCAGGTGTTTCAAAATTTTCACGCCCATATAGAGAGTGCATCAATCCTAAACATCCAGTCGCGTGGAGTTTAGGGTTGATGCTCCCTCGACGGCCCCATTAAAATATATTTATATATATATATAAAAATCGTGACAAAGGGAATCAGCCCTGAACACTTTCGGCCAATGTTTAGGGTTGATGCTCCCTAAACACTTCCGCCCGGTGTTTAGGGTTGATGCTCCCTGAACAGCATGCCATCCGAGAGGGTAATATATTTTCGTCTGCCCAAAATTCAGGTGCAAACAGTTCGATGGCCGTCAATCCAACCGGAGTTGTCGGTCCGTCAACATTTTGACCAATGAAATCTTTACTGCGTAGAAATCTCACTAACTATGCGCTGTGATCGAAAACTGGGCACTAACAGTGCGCCAGAAGCGACAATGCTGCGCTTTTTTCGTATATTTTCAGTAACAGTGCGGGATTAACTAAAAACCCGGAGGAAATGCCAACTTTTACATGCTGCTTGCCTGATGGCTGATGGTTTCTATTTCACTGCATCGCAGATTCTTGGTGATGAGGTGACGAGTCGCAGGTAGACTGACATTCTTTCGCAACTCCACGAAACGAAACCGTGAGCGTGAGATTCGGTCATCTGGTTTTCGCAAGCAGGTTCCTGGCCCAGGCGAGACGTGCACGAAGTAGGCACTCCGGCTTGACGAGACTCACCGAAGTTGCAAAACCTTTTGGTAACAGAAGCTCGATATACTGGGAGTACACAATGGAGTTCTTTTGTTCAACAGACCAACACACATTCACCTGAGATTGGCAAGTGTTTCCACTAGCAAATTTGGAATTTCAAAATGATGGAACAAGCAATGGCAAAACTGACTACACCAGAGTCTAGCAACCTAGCAGCCAGGCAGGTCGACCGTCAGCACAGCATGGTCGACCGCCTGCCAGCGTTGCATAGAGGAGCCATGCCGACGCTACAGAGAGGCGACCTGTCAACAGAGCAGGTCGACGGCGTATGCGCTTTTGTTAGATATGGTGCCCACACTAAGCTCTAATAGTTTGAAATGTGTAACTCCTGATACCAATTCAGGAGTGAAAAATGGGACATTCGAAAATTAATCTCTGGTGCTGCATGTGTGATGCCTATGTGGGGGAAACCCGGGTAGCTGTGCAGCAGCTGCTGCTGTCACTGTTCCAGTGACCATTCCTGCATCTGTAGCTGCTGATCTAAACCCATCATCTAGGTAGTACGGCTCCCTCCCTGACACATCCTGGAGAATTTACATCATTTTGCCGTACCTTCAATTACAACCTTCACTGACTCTCCCCCCTGTCTTCCCACCTATTAACCTCCCCTCCCTGCCTCTCCTCTTCTGCCCGCCTCTCCTGCTCCTCGTGCTGCTCCTGCATCAGCTTCCGTTGCTCCACCTACTGCAGCACTGTAAGTCGCCTCAAACATTACCGTTCCCCTTCCTCTCCTGTATCCTCCCCTCTGTTCTCCCCGCTTTTCTTCTCTTCCCTCTGCTCCGCCTCTGCCCGCCTCTCCTGCTCCTCACGCTGCTCCAGCATCAGCTTCCGCCGCTCCACCTGCTGCAGCAGCCCATCCAGCTCACTTGACCGCACCGGCTTGGTCAGGAAGTGGTCCATACCCACCTGCGAGTTGGGGTGTGGGTGTGCAAGAGAAGAGAGGATTAGGTGCGCGAATATAACATTTGAGTGGACTCAAAACCCATCTCGACCGCACAGGCTTGGTCAGAAAGTGGTCCATGGCCACCTGCGAGTTGAGGGTTACATATGCAGGGGGGGAAATGATGAGCAAGATGGGGAATGGATGGGGAGGGGGAGAAAGGGAGGGAGGGACGATGCATGCGCCAACCGTAGATCCACACACCTCTGAGCCGTTCGTGCACGAGTGCATTCGCAGCAAGAGCCACAATGTACGGCTGATGCAGCATCCCAGCTCATTCAAACTCACCTCGGTGCATCTGAGCCGTTCGTGCATGAGGGCACTCGCAGTAAGAGCCACAATATACGGCCGCTTCCGTTTCAACCCGCTCCCCTTCCTCCGCCGCCCCTCCTCCCCATCCCCATCCCTCTCTTGACCCGCCTTCCTAGCCCCCTCTCTTACTTCATCTGCTGCGTCATTCCCCCTACCACCAGCCGCATTCGCCTTCCCTTCAGCCAAGCCTGCATTACTAGGCTTGACCTCCATACCATCTCCTCCCCCATCCGCCGCTGTGAACCCCTTACTACCCTTCCGAACCGACTTGTATTCATCCATGCATGTGGCACCATCTGTAGCATCAGCTGCCGCGGAAGCTGTGGCGGCAGCTGTAGCAGCAGCTGTAGCTCCATCTGTAGCGGCGGCTGTAGCGGCATCGCCAGCAGTTTCCCAGACGGAGGGAAGCTCGCGGATCTTCTGAGTGGCGATGAAGCCATCCATTACCGGCATGTGGCAGTCCTGAATGGGGGATGGAATCAGAGAAGGGGCGGGAGGGGTGGGGGTGGGAGGGAAGGAAGGATTGTGAGAGGGGGGACAGTGAGGCGCATTCATATAGCACAGCTCTTCGACACTGAGTGATTGAGTGAGCGAGGGAGGGAGTGAGTGAGGGAGTAACCCTACCCACCATGAACACCACAACGTAGTCCTTCTTGCATGCCCTGAGCGTGTGACTCAGTGAGTGAGTGAGGGAGTGAGTGGCCTATGTAACACCACCCACCATGAACACCACACCTAGCCCTTCTTCTCACACGCCCTGAGCGTGTGAGCGATCGAGTGAGCGAGTCAGTGAATGGGTGAGTGAGTGAGTGACTGCGTGACACCACCCACCATGAACACCACATCATAGTCTTTCTTCTCGCATGCCCGCAGCGCCTCCTCTCCATTAGAAGCCACATCCGACACGACGCCCAGCCCCCTCAGCATACGCACCACCACCATCTGGTTCACTTTGTTATCCTCCGCTATCAAACACGACAGCCTCTTCCTCCTCCTCTTCCTCTCCTCCTCACTTCCCAACCCCACCCCCCCCTCTCCTCCAGGCCCGGTGGACAAACCGCCACCGGGAGCAGCACCGGAAGCAGCGCCTGCGGTGGCTGTAGCGGCGGCGGCGGCAGCGGAGCCGGCGTTGCCGCTTCGGGACCTGCCGCCGCCTCCACCCCACGTCGCTGCTCCGGATGCGTCGGCCGATGAGCCTGCACGAACAGCAGAAGCAGAAGCAGGGCAAACAAAAGTGAGGAGTAGTAAGCATTGGATATGGAGCAGTGGCAGAGGGAATGGCAGCAACGAGAGCAGCAGCAGCAGCAGCGGGCGGCAGCGGTGCCAGCGTTGCCGCTCCGTGCCCTGCTGTCTCCTCCCCCCCACGTCGCAGCTCTTGATGCATCTGCTGACGAGGATTGTGTGAAGAGAAAGATAGCGTGAAGGTGGACCCCGCCCGCGCCCACCCCACCACGGCCTTTGAACCCGCCCACTGGTGTAACCACCCCAGGAGTAACATACCTGCCAGCCAGACGTCTCTGGCCATGAGCCCGCCATTTCCAGCGAGCGCACAGAGCTGGGCGGTGGAGACGGGCAGCTGAATGGTGAAGGCGAAGGTGGACCCAGCGCCAAGAGCATTTGAACCCGCAGCCACAGCCCCTGAAATAAGTGATACAGAAAGTCAGAAACTGACCTGCCAGCGAGTCGTCTGTGGCCATGAGCCCGCCGTTCCCAGCGAGCGCACAGAGCTGCGCGGTTGACACAGGGAGCTGGATGGTGAAGGCGAAGGTGGACCCCGTGCCCACTTGGCTGCTGAATCCCGCCCGCACAGCCCTAGAACTCGCCCCCACAGCCCTAGAACTCGCCCCTACATACCCCACAACAACTTTAGGTAGAAACTGACCTGCCAGTGAGTCGTCTCGGGCCATGAGCCCGCCGTTACCAGCGAGAGCACAGAGCTGCGCGGTTGACACTGGCAGCTGGATGGTGAAGGCGAAGGTGGACCCCGCGCCCACCCGGCTGCTGACGTGAATGTACCCCCCCATGAGGTTCACGAGCGACTTTGAGATCGCCAGGCCCAGCCCCGTGCCCCCGTAGCGGCGCGAGGTGGAGGCGTCGCCCTGTATGGAGTGGGTGGGTGTGGGTGCAAGGGAGTGGAGTGTGTTGAAGGAAGCGGGTCCAACCAGCCCACACTGCCTCCACCGCGCCCACTTGGCTGCTGACGTGAATGTCCCCCCCCCCATGAGGTTCACGAGCGACTTTGAGATCGCCAGGCCCAGCCCCGTGCCCCCGTAGCGGCGCGAGGTGGAGGCGTCGCCCTGTAAGGAGTGGGTGGGTGTGGGTGCAAGGGAGTGGAGTGTGTTGAAGGAAGCGTGTCCAACCAGCCCACACTGCCTCCACCGCGCCCACTTGGCTGCTGACGTGAATGTCCCCCCCCCATAAGGTTCACGAGCCACTTTGAGATCGCCAGGCCCAGCCCCGTGCCTCCGTAGCGGCGGGATGTGGAGGCGTCGCACTGTTGGGATCACAGTGGGAGAGAAGGAAGTGGTGGTGCTGTTCTGATCTGAATTGACTCAAACCACCCCACCCCAATTGGATGCTCACGTGGACGTCTCCCCTCCTCTTTCCCCCCCCCTTCCCCACTTTCCTCCCACTTCCCTGCCCCTTCCCCTGCAAATCAGGGGATTGCCAGTCCGTTGGAGATTGCCAAACAGCGCCCATGCCTGCATAGCGTTAACCAGTCGGCACCTGTGCATACTTGCATGAACGCGCGGAACAGTCTAGAGCACGCCTCTTGACTGATGCCCATGCCATGCCAGTGTCCACCACGCAGTGTGGAGGAGGGAGTGAGAGGAGTGAAGGCGTGCGCGAATAGAGTATCTGTGTGTGTCCCATTCACCAAGTCCAATCGACGCCCTTTTACATACTTGCATGAACGCGCGGAACAGTCTAGAGCACGCCTCTTGACTTATGCCCATGCCATGCCAGTGACCACCACGCAGTGTGGAGGAGGGAGTGAGAGGAGTGAAGGCATGTGCGAATACAGTATCTGTGTGTGTCCCATTCACCAAGTCCAATCGAAGCCCTTTTACATACCTGCACCAAATGACATACCTGCATGAACGCGCGGAACAGCCGGGAGCACGCCTCTTGGCTGATGCCCATGCCAGTGTCCACCACACAGAACGTTATCCACACCTTCTCCTCCCCCTTCTCCCCCTCCCCCTTCTCCCCCTCCCCCTTCTCCCCCTCCTCCCCCTTCCCCCCCACCTCCGCCTTCTCTCCTTGCTCCACAGAAGCCCTTTCATTTCTTCTGCAATTCTCTCCCTTCCCACCCTCTACCTTCCCCCTCTCCCCTCCCTCACCTCCCTCACCCCCCTCCACTCCCTTGTTCTCTTCACCTCCGGCCTCCCTCCTATCAGCCACACCCCCGCCCTTCTCCATCCTCTCGCACTCCCCAAACTCCACGTCGCCTGAGTCACCCTCCGCCTCCTCCCCTCTCCCCTTCCGCCTTCTCTCCTCTCCCCTCCCCTCGCCCCCTCTTTCCTCCTCTCCCCTCCCCTCGCCCCCTCTTTCCTCCTCTCCACTCCCTCCCCCTCTCCGCCCGTCCTCCTGTCGCGCCATACCCTCCCCTGCAGCACTTAACCGCTTCTCTCCCTTCCCTGCTGCCACTGCTGCCCCTGCTGCCCCTGCTGTCCCCTCCCCTTTCTCCCCCGCACTTGCTGTCCCATCCACGCGTCTGCGTTTCGCGCTGGGTTCCTGCTCTACCTCCCTCGGATCACCCTTCCTAGTACCCCCTGCATCCACCAAACCCATTCCTCCTCCCGCTCCGCCCGCTGCTGCTGCTACTGCTGCTCCCGCTGCTGCTGCAACTGCTGCTCCTGCTGCTGCTCCTACTGCTGCGCCCGCTGCTGCTCCTACTGCTGCGCCCGCTGCTGCTTCTGCTGCTGCTTCTGCTGCTGCTTCTGCTGCTGCTTGCCCCCGCTGTCTCTCTCTCCCCATTTGCTCCTCCTCCTCCCCCTACGCCTCCTTCCCCTCCTGTTCCTGCATTTGCGCCCTCTCCTGCTGCTGCAGCGGCAGTAGCAGCCCTATTCTTGCGCACGCGGGCGATCTCGTCCTCTGTCGCCCGGCGAATCACAATCTGGATGCCGCCACTGGTGGGGGAAAAAACAAACAAACAAACAAACAAAACCGACTCAAAAACGGTGAGAGCATGAAGAGGTTGGCTCTCGTCATCTGCAGCAAGGCTGCTGGTGAATATTTGATTGCCACCACTGGTGGGAGAGAGCGGTACAACAGGTGGGGGGAAAGGGAGGTGCGGGAAAGCGAGGTTGGGGGGGGGGGGGGGGGGGGGGGGGAAGGGGAGGAAATGGAGGTGGGTGACATGCCAACGCAGGCGCACCTCTGGGTGAACTTGATGGAGTTGGAGACGAGGTTCAAAATGATCTGCCTCGGCCACCAGCCAGTCAGAACCCACGTCCCAAGAGGGGAGGTGTTGCAGGCAGGCGCTAACAACAATAAAGGCCGACTTACCTCTGGGTGAACTTGATGGAGTTGGAGACGAGGTTCAGAATGATCTGCCTCAGCCGCCCCGGATCGCCCCTCACGTAGCGCGGCACGTCAGGAGCCACTCGGCTCTCCAACTGCGAGATAACACACACAGAGGGAAGGACAAAGAAGGAGAACAAGGAGAACACGTCTCGAGACTGAATAATATTTTTTTTTTCCAACACCCAGCCCAGGGGAAAGAGAGTACCACCCACCACATACCACCAGCACCCGGTGCACCCCATACCAACAACCAGGCCATATGCCAACAACCCAGACCACCCATCAACAACCAAATAACACATTGCCACCACAAAGCAGCCAGAAACTGCCAGGAACCCATCCCACCCGCCAGCAATCCTTTTCCCGAGGCAGCAACGCAGAGCAGAGCAGTGGCCTCGTTGATACACGTCTCACGGTCTCGAGGCAGAAGGTCACGCTCTCCAGACGCAGACAGAGGAGCACTTGCCACTTCACCCACCACCATCTAAACCCATAAATAACCCATCCCACCCACCAGCAGTCCTTTCTCCGAGGCAGCAACACATAGCAGCGCCGTGGCCTCGTTGATACACGTTTCAAGGCAGAAGGCAACGCTCTCCAGACCCGGAGAGAGGAGCAATTCAACAACACCCATCCACCAGCCCAACCATAGTGACCACCGGCCTAAGATCACCATCCCAACGCCCACCAACACCCACCAGCAGTCCTTTCTCCGAGGCAGCAACGCACAGCAGCGCCGTGGCCTCGTTGATACACATTTCAAGGCAGAAGGCGACGCTCTCCAGACTCAGCGAGGAGCACCCGACACTTCACCCACCGCTTTAAAACCATAAACAAGCCTTAGAACCTACCAGCAATCCCTTCTCCGAGGCAGCGACACACAGCAGCGCCGTGGCCTCGTTGATACACGTCTCAAGGCAGAAGGCGACGCTCTCCAGACCGAGAGATTGCGATTCGATCTTGGAGAGATCCAGCACATCGGATATGATCCGCAGCAGATTGTCTCCCGACGATCGGATGATCTCGAGGTACGAGCGCTGCTCCACTGTGAGTGGCGTGCGCAGCAGCAGATCCGCCACGCCCAATACACCTGGACGGAGGACAGATAAAGTGGGGGACAGGGGCTGTTAGCGGCATGTCACAGGGCTAGTGAAGCAGACGATCGGATGATCTCGAGGTATGTGCGCTGCTCCACTGTGAGAGGCATGCAGAGAAGGAGATCCGCCACTCCCAACAGGCCTGGCAGGACGGGCGAGGGAGGGGGAGAGACAAGAAGCACTCACCATTCATGGGTGTGCGGATCTCGTGGCTCATATTCGCCAGAAACAGGCTCTTCGCCTCACTCGCCGCCTCCGCAGCCTCCTTGGCCTTCCTTAACACCTCCTCCTGCCTCTTGATCTCCGTCAGATCATGCCAGGTCGCCATGAAGAACTTCTCGTCGCCGACATGCACACACTGCGCGTGAATCCGCAAAGGCACCTCCGTGCCGTCCCGCGCCAAATGCACCCAGTTCACTACCACCTGACCCTGCTCCACCGTCCTTCTCCCGATTTCCAGCGCGACTGTTTCCGAGAGCTGCCCGTCGGGCTGGCGCACGGGAGAGAGGGGCGTGGCGTAGCCTGGCGTGGTCATGGCGTGGGAGAGCGCGGCTTTGGAGGGGTACTTGAGGATTCGCAAAGCGGCAGCGTTGCACTCTAACAGTATATGGTCCATGTTGTAGATCATCACTGGGTCCTGTGGGTTAGAGAGGCGAGGGGGAGTGGGGAAGAGGGGGAGGAGGGGAGGGGAAGGGGAGAATTGGCTTTGAAAGAAAGGGACTATAACGAGTTGCAGAGCAGCGGGGTTGCACTCTAACAGAATATGGTCCATGTTGTAGATCATCACAGGGTCCTGTGGGTAAGTAAGTACAGGGAGGGGGATGGTTAAAAAAAAAAAACAACAAAAAAAAAAAAAATCCGCTTTTTGCTGGGTGATTTCATGCATTCACCAACACACCCTTTGGTTTGGTTTGGTTCAATGAAAACAGAGTGGGCCGTTTTTAGCTCATCGTAGATTTCCGCACGATCTTCTGAACAGCTCCACCTCCTTGTACTTCCTTAGAAAAGCCTTCGATTCGTTTTCAAAAACACCCTATTTAAATAGGGTGTTCTCATGGGTTATAAAACACACCCCTCACTCACTCACCGCTGATTTCTGCACTAACTTCTTGAACAGCTCCAACTCCTTGTACTTCCTTAAAAGCAGACTCGCTGCTTTGTAAGACCACTCCACAACATGCTCCTCCACCGGCTTCGCAAGCACATGAGTTTGCTTCAAACAAGCCGCGTTTGGAGACGTTACACCAGCAGCTACGTCCTCAGCTGATGCAGCAGCTGCATCGGCTGGTGTGTTGGCGGTTGTGTTCGCAGTTGCGCGGGCAGGTGCTGCGGTGACCCCACTGTCAGCCAGACTCCCCTCCTGCGACCGCGATGGTTGCTGTAACGAGCTTTCGCCGGCCTTTGCGTCCACGTCACTGCTGCTGCCCACGTGGGCCTCGTCCACATGGAGATTGTGTGACCATCCGCGGCTGTCCAGTTGGCTCAGGACATTCAAACCGGACTCCACCACTTCGTCCAGCCCTGCACCGCGGAAAAGACTCTGGTACTTCCCGCGGATGTCCGGGCTTAAGTGCTCTGGAATTAGGGTTGCCATTCCCAAGTCGTTCTCCTTTTCCTTCTCCTTCTCCTTCTGCTGCTGCTCCGAGGAAGAAGAGGGTTTGTACGGGTCGTTGGGTTCAGCGTCAAGAGCACTGGTGCAGCGCACGAGCTGCAGAAGCAGCTTGAATAGAATCTTCTGGAAGGGGGGGTTTAGGGACAAGAAGAGGGTGGGACAGGACAGGAGGATGAGGGTTTCTGAGGATCGTCTGGTTCGGAGTCAAGAGCACTGGCGCAGCGCACGACCTGTAGAAGCAGCTTGAATAGAAGCTTCTGGAAGGGGGGTGGGAGCGACAAGAGGTTGGGACAGGAGGACTGGTTATTGAGGGTTTCTGTGGGTGGTTTGGCTCGGAATCAAGCACAACGGTGCGGAGGAAAGGGAAGAGAGAGAGTCGTTGTGATGGTGGAGGGAAATAGAAAAAGTTGCAGAATGATACATCTTTGAGAGGTAGAAATTGCTGCAAGAATACAACCAAGTAAAGCATAGGTGATGGGAGCAGCACCCTTGCACACAATACTAAATCCTGAAATTGTCTGCTGGCGAATAAAAAACAGCAGAAAGCAATAAACGGATGAAGATATCACACACGCAAAAAAGTTGTTGGCCAAGAAAAGATTGTGAGACAAGTGAAGCAAATGAGGCAAAAACAATTGCGGCAGGAAAGAAGAGAAGTGCCACACCATTTCGTCATCCCGGTGAGGTTTTCTCGTTATTGTTGCGACCAGGAACCCTAGCCCCTCCTTCTCCGAATCATCCTGAAACCACTGGAAATCAATGGACGCGGAAACCCGACTCTCGTCCGTTTTCCGCCCAAATCTCTCTTCCACACCCGGAAACTTCGGCGGACTTGGCTTCTTCGGCCCATTTGTGGTGCCTTTGGCGAGCGAGCCTCGGAGCTCCCTAGAAGAAAGCTGCTCAGACGGCAGCGGCCGCGCGGCATTTCCACCACCTTCGGTGATTGTCGGTTCCGATCGGTTCGTTGGATGTGAATCGCGTAGCGCATCTTGCGATACAGAAGAGAAATGCGCGATTCGCGTAGGGACACGGCGTGCACCCGCCGCCGTCTCGCCGTCGCAAGGGGATATTAAGCGCGGGAGATTTCCCGCCTGGTCGTCCCCGTCTTCGGAAGCATTTAGGCCAGTTTCAACTGCTACTAATTTATTATGTTTCCTTGAACCGCGGACCAGCTTTCCGCAATGCCTGCAGCATTCCATGCCGGCTTTTCCGTGAACAGTACTAGTAGCATCGAAGGACTCGCGACCATCGCGAGGTTGCCGTTGACTAGGACAACTGAGACCACCTTCGAGAGTTAACAGCTCGCCTTTTTTTCGCGACAAGGAACACAGCGCCTTACACCAATCGATATGGACCTCGCTAAAGGTTTTAGGGGGAATAACACACGGTTTGATTGTTCCTAGCGAAGGGGAGTCAGGCGTGAAAAGTGCGGAGACTTGGAGGTCGTAAAGATAAGCTTCGCAGCAGGTCCCTAAAAGCGCGACGGCGCCTCTGCTCGCAGCGACGACTCGAAAATCGGACGTGGATAAGACCAGTTGTGCGACTCCTAGCGACTCCTTGATAAACCGATGAATGTCGTTGTTACCCATTGTTATCCAACGTTACCAAACGAGCTTCAAGTCTCACAAGGAACGTTCAACCCAAGATCTTAAGACTTTCTCGTGGATCCTCAACTGTCGTAGTATTTAATCGGTCGAACTGGAACCAACGTTACGTTGGCGTGTGCATCATCGCTTCAGCCGCACGCCATGAACACACGCGGCCGTCCCAAATCCGGAATTTGATGCTAGAACGGTAGAACCTATCCTTACGCTCAGGAGCGATGCAACTCAATTGCAGTTTGCCAATCTTATCTCGGAGGTCCCTGCCCTACACTGCGAAGTAACGATTCTCGTCTCGTCTGCATGAAGCGGGTGTAGGAGAGAGATATGGGGGAAATCCAAGCCCATAACAGCCTTTGGATGGAGTATTACATATCTACAGCCTACAGCAAGCGGATAACGAAATCACATCGCATCGAGACGGACGGAAACCCAGTGAAGAGTGGAAACGAGAGTGCAGTGAAGCCCACTGGTTGGGTGGGTGGTTGGAAGAGGAACAACCTAGGTCATACGATCTTCGTGTGGAATGGATGCGATGGGACTGCAATGGCGGAAATCGACGAGAGTTGAGAAAAGACACGAAGGAATGAAATTAAAGATGACAAGATCTAGGAACAAGGAAGAAACTGGGAGGAGAAAGTGAGGAGGGCCGGGGAAAGAATCGGATCCAAGATCGTAGAATCAGCATCACCTCGATTTGACCGCATGGAGAGAGGCGAAATCGGGGGTGTGCTGTTGTGTGTGCATGGAGCGAGGAGGGAGAAAGAAGGTGGCGGAAATGAAGACGGCGGAAAGAGTGCTTGCGGAAAGAAAGCTGGCGGAGTAGAACCTTGCGGAAAAGGGGCTGGTGGAAAGGGGTTCGAGCAGGAAAGGGAGGAGAAAAGAGGAAAATGATGGTACAGTACAAGAAAGGGCTATCCTTGCTGGGCAATTGCCCGTCACCCTTATAATTTCAGGATGTCCCCAGAGTTTTGGGGCCAGTTGGAACTCCCCCTGTCCCTTTGTCAGCACATGCTATTGGATGCTGGTCCCTCCCAGAGGAACACAGACCGCAGGAGACTTGTCGCGCTCCCATTTCCCCTGAACAGGCTTTTACATGCTCGAGCTCCCATTTATGGAGGCAGTGTTTTCGCTGCCTAGAAGTTTAGAAAGTTCTTCGTCTGACGCCCAGCTCGACAACGCTAGTGGCTTGGTGGAACGAAGTGGCAGAAAGAGCCGATTACAGGCGGGCAGACACGGGCGGGTGGCGGGGGAGGCACCAGAATAGGTCAGGTCCGGGAGGGAGGGGAGACGCGGGTCACCTGTGATGACTTCTGTATGGTTGGAGAAACCCCACCCCAACCAGCCACCACCTCCAGCTTCCGCAAAAGCCGTGCCATGACAGCATCATCGGCACTGTACACGTACTCATGCAGCTGCAAGGAGCAAAGTTGCAGGGAGGAGCAGAGCAGCATCCGCACCTGTACGGTGGGCAGCAAGCGTCAACTTTGATATCTACCTGGCCAAGTTTGATAAGGCTCCAATACAGTTTTCTTTAGATTGGCTTGGCAACCTTGTTGTGAAATCATGGGTAGAAAAATAAATTGCATGCTGTATTGTGAACTGCAACCGCATGCCGGGACGTAGAAAGGCGACACACACTACATCCCAATTGGTGCATTCCTACTGTAATTTTCTCTCTTTCACGATCTGATGATGCAAGCGCTAGAACAGTATTATCCCCAATTGCGGGCCATATTCATCTCGTATTTGCTCACTCCCATCTCGACCTATTTAAACATTGATCAGACCTCTGCAAAACGTGTAACATCTCATTGAACAAACAAACTTGCACATTTCCAATTCCTCCTGCAGACCATCCCGCCGACCCGACCACTCGCTCACACTGCGAGGTTTGTAGGGGAACATGGCTGTGGACCCCGTCAAAACAATGTCGTAAAATAAGCAACCCTCCAGCGAGTTGTGTTTCGAGGAAACCTGCAAAGTTGTCTGTGTCAGCATAACCAGCCAAGCTGTAAAAGATGGGACAAAACAGGCTAACCAAGAGACCAAATACACCCTCGTTCTCGTACTTAACACACGCGGGCATCTTGGTAGGCTGATTTTGTCATATTCGAACTGTCTTAATGAACCATACTGAAAACCGCTCTCAACCATGCTGTTTCTTCCTGCTAGTTAGCACAACTGAGGTCAGTCTAGCGAGAACCAGGGTGTACTGCTTGGAAATTTTTACAAAAGCTATCTTCGCTGACGGACAGGAGATGCACTTTATACGCCCACGTTCTCTCTAAAATGGTTTAGAATGTGAGAGCATGTTATACTTCTTTAGGTTGGGGAGAATGACAAATAAATTTAGGCTCATCCGCCCAAATAGCACGCATGGAAGTGGACTGCACTCGTACTCGAATACTGGTAAGACTACAGAATTCCACGATGCCAATGAGCAGACAGATGTTGATACGCTTATGTACAATACATGTACAAGCTCCATTGGACACCTCAAAATGACTGCACCGGAGGAGCTAACAGAAGCAGTCTGTATATAGCAGCAGACGCCACGTGCAGATCATGTGGGGTTACATACTCGTCAGGCCGATGACTGATGCCTCCTCGGCATCGCACAAACAACATCGCCACCTGTAATCAGCAACCATGTCCGGGATCAAAAATCTCAAAGAACGAACGAATGGAGCCCGAAACAGTGACAGAAGACTATCAGAGACTACTGTTTACACACCTGTGTGCTTCCACAATCCCAACCCTCACTCCTCTCCCCCCAACCCGCAACCTACCCATCATCACCCCTCGTCACCATTCCACACCTGAGAAAGGTCTGCCATTGCATCATGGCCCACCCCGCTCACAAGCCGCGGAACCAACCATTATGTTTCACAAAAGGATATACCATTCGGACTTACGTCCACCCCCCACCAACCCTCAGCAACCGTTCATCACCCCTCACCACCCCTCATCACCATTCCTCACCTGAGTAAGGTCTGCCATCGCCATCGCATCATGGCCCGCCCCGCTGACAAGCCGAGGAACCTGCCGCAATTGCCGCCCTTGCCGCCCTTGTTCCCCTTGCCGCCCTTGCCGCCCTTGTTCCCCTTGCCGCCCTTGTTCCCCTTGCCGCCCTTGTTCCCCTTGCCGCCCTTGTTCCCCTTGCCGCCCTTGCCGCCCGTGCTGCCCGTGTGCCCCACACTCATCCCCAATGCACCCATCACTCGCTCCACAACTGTTCTTGCTGCAACCGCCGCGGCGATTTGCGGCACATTGGAACCCAGCAGAATCGTTGTCAAGTATAGGTTGCAGCCCACCAGCAGCGTCAGGTGCAGTGGCAGCGTCAGGGCCAGCAGCAGCAGAAGCTACTGGAGTGTGGTGTGAGGCAGTGAGGGCGCTGCTGAGAGTTGAATAATGCGAAGCAGCGAGCGCGCTGGCTGCTGCCTCGTGAATCATGGAGACGAGGGGAGGCGAGCAGTCCACTGTGCCAGCTTGATGCTGGGGCGAATGGAAAGGAGAGGGAGGGAAGGGGACGAAGGGAAGGGGAGGAAAGGAAGGGTCGTAAGGAAAGGGGAAAAAAGGTGGGTGGTGTGAAGCAGCGAGGGCGCTGAGGGCGGCCTGGCCACAAATCTCCCTGGTATTGGCCTCCACAGCAGAATGCCTCGCATGGTTGCTTGCTCCACGCCGTCACTTTCAGGGTGAATGCCACATTGCATGCGATGCGACTACCTACACCAATACAACACCAGAAACCCCCCTTCACTACACACCGGCACGACAACCCTCGCTTCTCACAGATGCGCCAAATCTCCCTCCCAATGTCCTCCACAGCTCGAAAAGAACAAAACACCGCCTACAATCAAACAGAACACATCTTCACCGCGAACCGACATGACAGCCCTCGCTCGCTGCAGATCCCTCGAATCCCCCTGTCAATCGCCCCCGCGGAAGCGTGCCTCACGCCACTGCCCGCACGTCCAGATTGAACACCACTCTGCCGGCCCCTCCATACCCCACATGCAACAATATGGTGCTCACAAAAACTCACCTTCACCTCGTGTATGAAGGAGTGTTATGAGACGTCTCAAAGCACGCAACAATATGGTGCTCACACAAACTCACCTTCACCTCGTGTATGAAGGAGTCTCGAAACACGCAACAATATGGTGCTCACAAGAACTTACCTCCTCTGCGAACTGGCATGACAGCCCGCGCGCACTGCAGATGCGCTCAATCTCCCTCTCAATCGCCCCCACAGCAGCGTGCCTCACGCCATTGCTCTGTGCACGTACGTCCACAGTGAACGCCACTCGGCCTACCATCACTACATACACAGAGCCGACACTCTACTGCCCTCACCATAACCCACCTTCACTGCAAATTTGCACGACAGCCCTCGCTCGCTGCAGATGCGCTGAATCTCCCTTTCGATCGCCTCTACAGCAGCGTGCCTCACACCGTTGCTCTGTGCCCGCACGTCCACAGTGAACGCCACTCGGCCTACCATCACTATATACACAGAGCCGACACTCTACTGCCCTCACCATAACCCACCTTCACTGCAAATTTGCACGACAGCCCTCGCTCGCTGCAGATGCGCTGAATCTCCCTTTCGATCGCCTCTACAGCAGCGTGCCTCACACCGTTGCTCTGTGCCCGCACGTCCACAGTGAACGCCACTCGGCCAGCTATCACATTGCTTTCCCCCGGCCAGGCCACCACCTTCCCCACCGTGCACACCAACCCACTGCCTGCCTCATTTCCTCCCCCACTGCCTGCCCCATTTCCTCCCCCACTGCCTGCCTCACTCCCTCTGCTGCTGCTGCTGCTGCTGCTGTTACCACCACTCCAGCCTCTCCCTCTCGACCCCTCCTCCTCCTCACCCCCCCCCTCCTCCCGCTCCTCCTCCTCCTGCTCTCTCAACACCTCCAAGCACACCGACTCCACAGCCACCACAGCAGCAGCAGCACCAGCAACAGCATCCCTCCGCAACCTCATAGGCACAGTCCCCGCGTGCCCCTGCTCGCCCTCTATAGTCACCTCCGCCCGCGTCTGCCCTGCTATCCCCAGCACCACCCCCAGCGGCTGCCCTAGGGATTCCAAGACCGGGCCCTGCTCTAAGTGAGCTTCCACGTAGCCCCATACGTTCTCAGGGAGGTATCGAGCTGTCATGAGGCCTTTCGACCCTCCAGCTGCTGCTGCTGCTGCTGCTGCTGTTGCTGCTGCTGTTGCTGCTGCTGCTGCTGCTGCTGGAAGTGACTCGATGGCTTCTTGTATAGTCACACCACTGAACAATTGAAAAGAAGAAAGCGCAAGGAGGAAGGCATTGGTTCGGGGGGACTATGAGGATTCATCTTACCCCATCACCCTTCACCTGCCCGCATCTCCCCTCACCTGCCCTCACCTACCCGCATGCCCCCTCACACACTCACTGGCTGTCCTTCATCTGAAGCATATCAGGCGAGAGCGTCCCTGCAATGGATCTGCTGCCCGGAACGTGGACTGGAATCGCTTGCCCTCCTCGTCGCTGAACGCCACCACCTCCAGTTGGGCGAGGCAGCGCCGCCACCACCTGCACGCACTCACCTGCCCATTCCCTCGCCACAACAAAAAAATCTACACACTCACACCACTCAGCACCACCTGCACTCAGCGCCGCCACCACCTACACTCACTCGCGATCCTTCATCTGCAGCATGGCAGGCGAGAGCGTCCCTGCGATGGCTCTGCTTCCCAGGAACGTGCACTGAAACCGCATGCCCTCCTCGTCTCTAAACGCTATGATCTCCACGGGGCGAGGAAGCACCGCCTGCCGCACTCACCCGCACATCACCCCCCCATACCAACACATATACACACTCACTCGCGATCCTTCATCTGCAGCATGGCAGGCGAGAGCGTCCCTGCGACCGCCCTGCTCCCCAGGAACGTGGACTGAAACCGCATGCCCTCCTTGTCACTGAACGCGAGAATCTCCACTCACTGCCCCCACATGACCCAACACTACCACAGCAGCACTCACTGGCTGTCCTTCATCTGCAGCATGGCAGGCGAGAGCGTCCCTGCGATGGCTCTGCTGCCCAAGAAGGTCGACTGGAATCGCATGCCCTCCTCGTCGCTGAAGGCGATGATCTCCACGGGGCGAGGCAGCGCCGCCGGGCCACACGCTGCGAGGAAGAGCTTAACCGCAGCAATGGCCGTTACCACGCCGAGTGCCCCGTCGAACCGACCGGCGTCCACCACCGTGTCCTGGGAGGAGGGGGACAGCGCACGGAATGGCAGGGAGGAAGAAGAGCGGAGAGGAAAAACGTGTTGTAGAACAGCGAGCCCCGCACGCTGTGCGGAAGAGCTTGAACGCAGCGAGTTGGATTTTGAAAATTCTCAAAAACCAACTCGTGTTGCAGAACAGCGAGCCCCGCACGCTGTGAGAAAGAGCTTGAACGCAGCGATGGCCGTGACCACGCCCAGTGCCCCCCGTCGAACCGACCGGCACCAACAACCGTGTCCTGGGAAGGGGAGCATCGCGGGAAGGGAGGAGGGGGACGGAGAGCGAGGAAGGGGAAGGGGAGGGGGGGGAGAGACAGGGGGGAGGGGAGAGACAGGGGGGTAGGGGAGAGACAGGGGGGAGGGGAGAGACAGGGGGGTAGGGGAGAGACAGGGGGGAGGGGAGAGACAAGGGGGAGGGAAGAGAGGGAGGAGGTGGTGAAGAGACAAAGAGGAGGGGAGGAAGAGATGCGGGTTACTAACAAGTGCGGGTTCAGACGCGGATTACCAGACGCAAGTTACCAGACGCGGGTTACCAGACGCGGGTTACCAGACGCGGGTTACCAGACGCAAGTTACCAGACGCGGATTACCAGACGCAAGCTACCAGATGCGGCTTACCAGATGAGAGCCGAGAAGTAGCACAGGCGCGTCGGGGTGTGGTCCGTCGACGCGGCCGTGCACGTTGCCAACCGCGTCCATCCACGTGTACATGCCGGCCTCCTCCATCCAATCGCTGACGAGCGCCGCGGCTCGCATCGACGCGCCGCTGAGAAACGTGCGCTGCAAGTAATGCGCCGAGTCGCTGACCTGCAGCATGGAGACGGGAACGGAACAGAGTAGACCGCTTTCAACCGCAATCAACCGCCAGGGGACACCTGCGGACCACCTCATCCTTCAACATCGCATCCGCTCCTTCCGCTGCCTTAAAACGTTTCAGAATTCAACAGCAACAGTGACTCGAGACGCAGTGCTGATGTGCGGTGGTAAGCTCACGTTTCCCAGCTCATCAAGCCGGCGAACGACCTCGTCCTTCAGTATCGTCTCCGCGACTTCCGCCGGCACTGCCTCGCCGCACGCCAGCCGAGACTCGACCAGCGACTCGTCGCGCACTGAGCGCGACTCAAGCAGAGATTCTCCTCGAGATCCCGATTCCGCTAAGTCAAACGCCAACCGAGAGTCGCCTGACGGTTCCTTCAAGTTGTCCGATGAGCGGGACGCACGTTGACCGTTGATCTGCGTCTCGATGCCAGCTGCTGTAATGAGGGAGAAAGGTTCATGGCAGGACGAAAGGGGAGAAGGAGGCAAGAAGTACGGATGCGATAAGCAGCTTTTTCTGTCGATCCAGAATTCACCTCTTGAGTCGACTGGAGGGATATAGAAGGATTCCCGGGCGAGAGCGGAAACTGGCGTCCCAGCTCCAACCATGGAAGGGATGTGCGAGAGCACCGCTCAACAACTCGTTCGGGATTTGCACGAGCGAGCAGGCAAAGCTTTCGAAAGGACGAGGCCAGGTTGGTCACGGCGGGAAAAACCGCACACAGAGAACGGAGACGCCTGCCTAGATGAGGCCGTACCATGGCTTGAAAAGTTGTACTGCTCTGAGATTTCGGGGAGACGAGTTAAATTCACGTGGAGAACGATATCAGGTGCCTCGTTTACGTGGATGACAGAAGCCGGAACGTCACGTAATGGAACATCGACTGTTGAAGCGACGGTCGCTGCTCTCTCTAGTCCCACGGTGCTCGGACCGTCTAATCTAGAAGATTCAATCTGAAGGTTGTCTGCTGCGAGACTCGGGGCATGCAAGTGGTGAAGAGATATCAAGCAGCAGAGGCCTACTACCAAACTGTGGAACAGAGGCGTTTGGAAATTCATGTTTCCTCCCTAGAAGACGGAAACGTAATTAGTGAATCGAAATCAAGGTTACCCGTCGGTCTCAGTACCTGCAAATAAAAGCTCTGATAGTACAGAAAAGGTGAGAATCATAATCTACTAAGTTTTAGAAAGAGCTTCAATCAGAGCTTCATCCAGAGAGACTTCCCAAGGAAGTGCATTCACAAATGAGAATTTGAGCAGTGGATTTGCCATCGACGGGATGTGTAGCGTTCCATTACGGTAATACTCGGAAAAGCGGTTTCAAGCTGGGTACAGTATGGTAGCTTCCAATCAATCAATCACGATGGTCTGGAACTTGTGAAGTCACCGCGGCTCCACACCAGACCTGCCAGCCATGCCGAACCCAAACCAATGTCGGCCAATCACATGCGGCATGGTGATTGTTGTTTGGGTGCAGGTGGCCCAGCAGAGCCCGCATGACATACCCAAGGGTGGCTGTCGCAGAGAGCGCAGCGGGATGACGAACCTGCCGCCAGCCCTCCTTGAAGCTGGTTCGCTGGTGGTTTGTGGTTGGATAGCCTTTTGCGGCTGCCCGTCGTTCATGGGTTGTTGGTTGTGTCGCTCCCATCCGATGCAAAAGGTCGTGGCTTGTCACCGTCGATACTGCTCACGTATTCACGCTTCCTCATATCTCTCAACCTTCTTCAGCGTGCTCCTCAAACCAACCAGGGGCAGACCGACTTTCCTCAGCCAACGCGCGAAATCGAGGCTGTGGTGTTCGCAAATCAACAGCCACTATTCTGAACTCGAAGTTCCAGGTGGAAATTCCAGGGAATCATGTTTTGCCACGCAGGCTTTCGGGACACTTCAAGCCAATCATGGGATGAGAGATAATGGCCAATGGCAGCCAGCAAGGCCTTGGTGAAAAGGTAGCCAGGCTGTGTGTCATGTTTTGGAATTATTTTTGGGGTAATTACCTTGGGGGTAACACACTTAGAGCCCGATCGCCCCAAGGTAAGCCACGCGTCGAAATTGTAACAAAGATATCGTGTGATCGCCCTCATGGTAACCATTATGCCAAAGTGGTCACCATTTTTGCCTGAGTGGTAATGAACAGTGCCTTCCGAACTCCAAACAGGTAACTGCTCGTTCCAAGCATACTGTACCCCGTACGTACCCTGTATGAAGCAAAACGGGGAACGATATTACATATGTTTTACATATGTTTCGCATTTTAGGTAAAAATGTCAAATGTATAATCTGGTTGTATGGTTGTAACAAGCAGAGTTGCGAGGAAAACGAATAACGAAGCTTGTGACTAAATCAATTGACAAGGCACGCAGGCTATATAGCGGGTCAACCTAGCTAAGCAGGAACCTCGGGAACACGAGGTTGGGTGCAGGTTGGGCAAAAGAGAAGAGAGCCCAAGGCGAAGCCAGGCTGCTTCGGCAGCAAGCGAGATGGCCAAACGTTCCTCAAGTCGGGGTTGTACGCGTTTGAGTAGACCGCAGGAAGGATAAGGGTTTTTCCTTACAATCATAGGGGTTGTACAAAAACACTCTAAAAAAATGATTCTGTACAACCTAGAATGGCGTGGCTCCCCAAACATCCCTGTTGATAAAACCATCATCCAGTCTACATAACGTGGAAGTGATGTCACGCACGTGAAAATCTACAACATAAATGAATACCATGGATAATTTCCCATCAGAAAACACCTTTTTGCATCTCCAGAGCTTCAAGTCTGCTTCTTCTCCCCCACGTCAGCAATCCTCTTCTTTTTCTCAGCTGCTGGAAGAACCTTTCCATATTCCGCACCCCAACAAACCCAGTCGGCGAGCCACACAGGGGCAAACCACACCATCGCCATCACGCTAACCCACATCTCTCCAGCAAAAAGGCGCCACGGAGGGTTGGGGGAAAGTGAGGCATTGGCAATGAGAGAAGCAAGGTGGGACGGGGGAGTCATGGCTGTTGCATGGGGCAGGCTAGCCATCTTGTCAATGTTGGCCTGGCAGGGAGCATACGGGCTGGTGGTCGGCAGCTGGGCGGAGATCTGAGGGGTTTTGCTGCAAGCGGACAGGGCACAGGGACGAAAGAGTATTTCCTTAGGCTTCAAAAAAAAAAAGTTAGGAATGTTGTTGGATTTGCAGGAAGCAGAAGGGAGGGAAAGGAGATAGAGGAAGTGAAAGGCAGGAAAAAAGAGCTTTGCTCATTACCTATGCAAGGATGTAACGATTTACGATTGTTTCAAGTACGAGGGAAAAGAAAATGTGGGAAGTGGTCGTGGAAGTTCGAGAGGAAATCACACTTTCTTTTATGCAAGCACATGAATTCCCGGCGAATATTTACCAACCACTGTCATTGCGTCCCGTCTCACTCACCCGAACAGCTCAGTCTTTATGAGCCCAGGCGCCACGAGCACAACCTTTATTCCAAACGGCTTCATCTCCATGCGCATGCAGTTGGTCACTGCGTTCAACGCTGCCTTGGACGCCGAATACACTGCGCCCATGGGCCTGTGATGAGGTTACAGGGAGGGGAGAAAGAAGGGGTGGGAGAAGATAGGTGATTCATCTCCATGCGCATGCAGTTGGTCAATGCATTCAACGCTGCCTTGGGTGGTGGGGAGAGGAGAGGTGATTCATCCCCATGCGCATGCAGTTGGTTGCTGCGGTCCGTGCCGCCGTAGATGCTGAATAGACAGGCCCCATTAGGCACTTGATGAGGGTGGGGGAGTGAAGAGACAGGGAGTTGGGTGGTGGGGAGAGGGGAGGTGATTCATCTCCATGCGCATGCAGTTGGTTGCTGCAGTCAACGCTGCCTTGGATGCCGAAAACACAGCGACCAAGGGCTTGCCATGGGGCATTTGGGAAAGGGAGGGAAGTAGATGCGATTTATTGCGATGACCATGAATTATTGAGAGCGCCCATTTGTATGTCAGCTTCATATGACAGACAAACCTAGTCTCGCGTTAGAATCAATAACGGAACCCTCGATAGTCAGACGCCCCCAAGACACTCACAATGCCTTGCACTTTGAGTCGACTCAAAACACGCCCCCAAGACACTCACAACGCCTGGTAACCCAAGATGCTCGATATATTCACGATGCAACCGCTCCGCTTCTCAGCCATGTGGGGGAACACTGCCTTCGCCATGCCCACTGCCCCCAGCAGGTTGGTTTCAAAGCCTTGGCGCCAGGAGGAGAGATGGAGGTCCGCCACAGGCCCCATTATAAGCACACCCGCGTTGTTCACAAGAATGTCGATCTGCCCGGCGCTCTTTACAATCACATCCACTGCAGACTGCAAAGAGAGAGAGGGGGGGAGGGGGGGGGGGAGAGATGAGTTGGGAGGAGGGGAGAGAGGAAGAGGAGACTGAAAGGAAAGAGAGGGCGGGCAGTTTGGAGGGAAAACAAGAGAATGAGATAAACGAGACAGTTACAAATGCACCTTGATGTCATCCCCTTTAGTCACATCCAGCTTCACTGTACTCACGCCCTACTCCTGCAGCCCCAGTTACTGCTGCTTAATTGCGCCCCACACTGCCCCCTAACAGCACACATACCTTGATATCATCCTCGTTAGTCACATCCAGCTTCACTGTAGTCACGCCCTGCTCCTGCAGCCCCTCCATCGCCTCTACCCTCCGCGCCGTCGCAAACACCTTGGCACCCCGCCGCGCGTATTCCCTGGTCGTGAAAGGAGAGAGGATGGGAACGGGAGGGGATGGGAGGAAAATGGGAGGGGAGGGGCGGGAGTGGGTGAGGGGCGATTAGGGGAGAAGGGAGGTTTGTGCGATGGGATGACTTCTGAGGCGCCTCAAAAGGTATGTGCGATGGGATGACTTCTGAGGCGCCTCAAAAGGTATGTGCGATGAGATGACTTCCGAGGCGCCTCAAAAGGTATGTGCGATGGGATGACTTCTGAGGCGCCTCAAAAGGTATGTGCGATGGGATGACTTCTGCGGCGACTCAAAAGGTATGTGCGATGGGATGACTTCTGAGGCGCCTCAAAAGGTATGTGCGATGGGATGACTTCTGAGGCGCCTCAAAAGGTATGTGCGATGGGATGACTTCTGAGGCGCCTCAAAAGGTATGTGCGATGGGATGACTTCTGAGGCGCCTCAAAAGGTATGTGCGATGGGATGACTTCTGAGGCGCCTCAAAAGGTATGTGCGATGGGATGACTTCTGAGGCGCCTCAAAAGGTATGTGCGATGAGATGACTTCTGAGGCGCCTCAAAAGGTATGTGCGATGGGATGACTTCTGAGGCGCCTCAAAAGGTATGTGCGATGGGATGACTTCTGAGGCGCCTCAAAAGGTATGTGCGATGGGATGACTTCTGAGGCGCCTCAAAAGGTATGTGCGATGGGATGACTTCTGAGGCGCCTCAAAAGGTATGTGCGATGGGATGACTTCTGAGGCGCCTCAAAAGGTATGTGCGATGGGATGACTTCTGAGGCGCCTCAAAAGGTATGTGCGATGGGATGACTTCTGAGGCGCCTCAAAAGGTATGTGCGATGAGATGACTTCTGAGGTGCCTCAAAAGGTATGTGCGATGGGATGACTTCTGAGGCGCCTCAAAAGGTATGTGCGATGGGATGACTTCTGAGGCGCCTCAAAAGGTATGTGCGATGGGATGACTTCTGAGGCGCCTCAAAAGGTATGTGCGATGGGATGACTTCTGAGGCGCCTCAAAAGGTATGTGCGATGGGATGACTTCTGAGGCGCCTCAAAAGGTATGTGCGATGGGATGACTTCTGAGGCGCCTCAAAAGGTATGTGCGATGGGATGACTTCTGAGGCGCCTCAAAAGGTATGTGCGATGGGATGACTTCTGAGGCGCCTCAAAAGGTATGTGCGATGGGATGACTTCTGAGGCGCCTCAAAAGGTATGTGCGATGGGATGACTTCTGAAGCGCCTCAAAAGGTATGTGCGATGGGATGACTTCTGAGGCGCCTCAAAAGGTATGTGCGATGGGAGGGTGGGATGACAGCTTCACTGCACTCACACCCTGCTCCTGCACCCCCTCCATCGCCTCTACCCGCCGCCCCGTCGCACCCTGCCATGCATACTAAGCGGTAGGGGGAAGGGAGGGGAGGGGGAGGGAATGGGGCCGGGAGGATGGGAGGGAGGAGGCGGAGGGGAGGAGGGGAGGGGGAGAGGAGGCGGAGGGGAGGAGGGGAGGGGGAGGGGAGGCGGAGGGGAGGAGGGGAGGGGGGAGGAGGCGGGGGAGGGGAGGAGGGGAGGGGGAGAGGAGGCGGAGGGGAGGAGGGAAGGGGGAGAGGAAGGGAGTGGTGAGGGGCGATAGGAGGAATGGCAGCTTCACGGTTCTCACGCCCTGCTCCTACACCCCCTCCATCGCCTCTACCTGCCGCGCCGTCTCAAACACCTTGGCGCCCCGCCATGCATACTACCTGGTCGTGGGCGGAGAGAGGAGGGGGAGGGGAGGAGGGGAGGGGGAGAGGAAGGCCTGCGATTGACAGCGAAATGGTAATCGTTACAACGGGCCTGCGCTTAGGATGTTTGTGACGAATTCGCAGCGTTGAGGTTCCTAATCACCCGGAGAACAGGTATCGAGGATATCATACTCTGCTAGCGCGTAACCAATTCCTCCTTTCGAGCATCCCGTTATAGCCACGACTTTCCCGTCCCCCCGATGCTGCTTTGGCCGGCCGAAAACCCCTCCCATAGTTGGCGCGGGCGTAGGAGATATTAGTATATTGTGAGTAATAAAATTACATGTGACCCGTTCGCTATGAGGTATGTGGTCGTTCGCGCTACGAGTGTGCTAATCACCCCGCATTTGGCGCCAAAGCTAGCTGATTTGTTACATTCCCACAAACTACGGTTTTGTCTGGTTTGTTGCGTTCCAAAAGGGTTGAATATCATTGCCAATAAACAAATGGCGGGAAAACTAACAGAACCGCACTGTCAGCGGAGGCTCGTCAATCAGGTTCGGTCGGTAAACGAGGAGAATTCTGCATTTGATTTGGCGTGTTACTGATTTCGCTTGCTTCAAACAGAAGAACACATACAGGTTCGTCAGACAGCAGTGCAGTATCGCCATTGCTGCGGAACTGAGGTTCGGTGAGGAGGGCTGAACACGTCCAGGTCAGGGCATCCAAGCCTGAGTCCCGAACAACCAATCTCTGCCTCGTGGAGCAATGCCTGGAGTTCGGTTCGGCGAACAAGCTGACGAAGAAATTATATTTTGCATGCGAATTTGTGCGAAATAACTCCACACAAACAGACGGAAATCTTTGCTCGCGCTAACACAGGTGGAGGTTTTGCTGGTCGCTGCTTTATCCTGCATATCACTGGTGCAAGATTTGTTTTGTCAACGAGCGACCTCCCACAGTCCACCACCACCACTCGATTCTCGACAGACTTCACTCGGCTCAGATTTGTTTTGTACTGGACTCGGCTCAGTTTCTGGCCACAGACAAGAAAGTCCAAAGGAGCCCACCCCGCTGCACCGGTACGGTTGAATGTGGTTCTTTAGGTTCCAGAGCTTTTCGAATAGGTAATTAGCAAATTAGCTTCCTTGGCTGGATAGACCCATGCGACTATCTGGGATCCCTCCGCACAGCCTGATCAGATTTTCGGTTCGGAGTTCCATCCAGTGTCAGTCACTGGAACTCAATTATTGTTCAGGCAGGTAAGCATCGGTTGAGAGCGGTAAATAAGCAAAATGCACTGAATTGCACAGAAACGCACTCAAACCTTTTAAACCGAACCGAAAGTGGAACTCTATTGATAACACCCTTCAATCACTGCCAAATGCTTCCTGTCAGTAACAACTGGGAGTTTCCATCCTACAGGAAGAGCTGAGTGGAAAATACCTTCTGCATAAGCGTAATGGTTCTTGCATCCTCCACTCTTGCTACCCCGACTTAAAACTCCACCATGGATCATATCGATAGACCCACGAAATGCCGTTTGCTAGCGGAAGCCCTCTGCGATCATGTTCCCGCGGCTTGTCTCTCAGCAAATGGACTGATCGTCGAATACAGGTAGAGTATTCATGAAAAATATTCAAGCTACTACGTGTCGCGTCCCGTCAAAAGCTTTAAGAGACTACGACTAGCTAGGCACTCAGGCTCTAAAAATGTAATGCAATGCAAAGCGTCGCGTCGCGTCCCGGCGTGCCAGCGCAGCGTTGCCAGTATCATGTGCGAGTCACCACTCTCTAGCGAGCTCATCTCAAGATTTGACGATTAAGCAACATGAAACTCAATGCGTCATCTCCGCGCCTGTTTATGCAGCGCTGTCATGCGCGCGTCGCTGTCACCAGGTCATGGCGATCTGAAAATCACTTAACGTTTGAGGTCAAACGTCGCTGTCACCAGGTCAAAATGCAATCCTTTCGTGCCTGTGCACCTCCCGTGCTTGTTTGAGCAGCTCTGCCATGCGCGAGTCGCTGTCGCCAGGCCATGATGGCGCGCTGGAAATATATTGGTTTCAAATATCCACAGAATGCATTATTTTTATGCGTGTGCGTCTCCCGTGCTTGTTTGAGCAGCGCTGCCATGCGCGAGTCGCTGTCGCCAGGCCATGATGGCGAGCAGGAGCTTCTACATAGACCGTTCCTGGAGCTGATTCACGTTGACGACCGGAGCGCGTTTCAGGTCAGCCCACTGCCATCACTTACCAGTGAGCATGTTTGTACTCGTCACAGTTCGTTTCGTCCTCGGAGTTCATCCACGCTTTGCAGGTAGCATGAAAACGCTACGTCACTTGCGAACATTATAAGTCGCCTGTTAGTCACAAGCGCTTTTAGTCCACTTTCTTCTGGAGGTGACGTTTAACTTCACTCCACTCATAAATACCGAGTGCGTCTCCCCCCCTCAGAGCCTAACCAGCTTTATTGATTACTTTACCTTACCATTGGATTTATCCCAGGGCTGTATGACGCGGAGCCATGCTCTTAACGCGGACAACAAAGCCACTGTGCTGGAAATCCGGCTTCGGAGCACCGTCAGCAGCAGCAGCAGCAGCTGTCATGGCGACAGCAGCAGCAGCAGCAGCAGCAGCAGCAGCGGTCATGGACGGAGTATCGAAAGCAATAGAAGCCATGGCCATGGCGATCGTAGAAGTAGTCATGGCGATTCTGACGTCAGCATCAGATCAGATGGACGGTTCAGATGGTTCGAGGTGCGGCTGGCTCCGATCGGGATGGCTTCCGGTCAAGGCAATGGCGGACGCCCTCTGCTCTGCACTCTGCATGACATCTCCAAGTGGAAAGACAAACAGGTACTGCTTGGGTTATGGGTTTGCTTTTGGATCAAGTATACGCGCTGCTTGTGAGGCGACTCTGAAACCGGCCGGCAGTGGCGGCCGTCCTCTGCTCTGCACACCGCATGACATCAAGAAGTTGAAACACAAAAACCTTAAACCCTAGCTTCGTATTCTCTAGCTCCCCCCCCCCCCCCCCCCCCCCCCCTCCCCCCGTGTATTCCATCCAGGAATCGCTCTCTGCTGCTCTGCAGGGGTGCTTCTCCACTGCTCAACTGGCCAATTTCTAAGACGCCTCAGAAAACTTCCCCTGCACTTACTCCCTCTATATTCTACCCAGGAATCGCTCTCTGCCGCTCTGGAGGGGTGCTTCACCGCAGCTCAAATGCCAGCCCAGACCCCTGTGGCTGCAGCTGCTGCAGCTGTACTCGCTATAGAGAATGAGCTGGACTCGCTAGTGGAGCGGCTGAAGGCTCTGGAGGGAAAAATCTGTGAAGGCGTGTACAACGGGAAGTTCAAGCGGATCTTTGAGATATCTATGGATCCGATATTTATCATCGGAGGCGACAGGCTGATCCACGAGTGCAACGAGGCTGCAGTGCGCATGCTGGGGCACCAATCAAAGGCCGCCATCTGTCACAAGCTCAGTGCCGCCGCCTTCTCCCCGGAGGTCCAGCCGGGCGGCGAGCGGACGGCAGATAAGATGATTCGATTCGTGGAGCCGCTGCTGCGAGGGGAGGCATCGATTGACGAGTGGTGGCACTATGATACTCGAGGGGAGCTGTTTCCGGTGCTGGTGAAAGTGCAGGTGTGTGAGAGGGTGGTGAGCGGCGCGAGGGGGTGGGACGGGGTGACTGGTTGCAGGTACGTGCGTGGGAAGGCGTCCATAGAAGCCCCTCCCCCCTCCCTCCATCACCCCACTTAAGCAGGAGGCTACCTGCTCCTCACCTCACCGTCTTTCCTTCATGCCACACACACCGTTCCTGAACGATAGCACCTGGGGGAGGTGGTATCTGAGTGGCATGGCCTGCGGAAGATGAAGTGGCATGAGGAGGAGCTGAGGCAACCCGTTCCCCCACCCCACCCATGTCTCCCCACCCTCGCCACTGATCTGTCCCTCCCTCCATCCGGATATTCCAGTTCCTAAGCGAGGAACACCCAGGGGAGGTGGTATCTGTGTGGCATGATCTGCGGGAAACGAAGCGGCACGAGGAGGAGCTGAGGCAAGCCAAGGAGGCGGCAGAGGCGGCGAGTCAGGCCAAGAGCCAGTTCCTGGCGAACATCAGCCATGAGATCCGCACCCCCATGAATGGTGAGTCGAAACCCCCAAATGGGAATGCTGGTGTGTGTGTGTGTGTGTGTGTGTGTGTGTGTGTGTGTGCGTGCGTGCGTGCGTGCGTGCGTGCGTGCGTGTGTGTGTGTGTGTGTGTGCATATGAGGATGGTAGGTGCAAATCAGTCAGGCCAAGAGCCAATTCCTGGCGAACATCAGCCATGAGATTCGGAGACAGCCTCATATCCGACATACTCCCACCCTCTCCCCTCTCTTCCCCGTCGCCCTCCATTTCCCCAGGTGTGCTGGGAGTGGCGGAGCTGCTGCTACAAACTCCATTGACAGCCGAGCAGCAGCAGTACTGTGAGGTGATTCGCTCGTCAGGGGAAAGCCTGCTGCACATCATATCGGACGTACTCGATATAAGCAAGATCGAGGCCCGGTCGCTAGCGCTCGAGTCAATCCCGTTCCACCTGCAGCAGACAGTAGAGGACGCTGTGGCTGCTGTTGCTGTGCTGGCACGGCAGAAAGGGCTGAATGTGAGTTGGAATGAATGTGGTTGAGTGGGGTTGAGTGCAGTGCAGCAGACAGAAGAGGACGATGTGGCTGCTGTTGCTGTGCTGGCACGGCAGAAACTGCTCAAGGTGAGTGCGGTTTAAGTGCGGTTGAGTGCAGTTGAGTGAAGTGGGAAGGAGTGTCGATGGAAAGGGAAGATTGATGCGCTGTCGCTAGCACTCCAGTCCATTCTGTTCCACCTGCAACAGGCAGTAGAGGAACCTGTGTCTGCTGTTGCTGTGCTGGCATGGCACGGCAGAAAGGGCTCAAGGTGAGTGAAAACGAATGTGGTTGAGTGAGTTTGAGGAAGGTTGAGTGGATCCCGTTCAACCTGCAGCAGACAGTGGCAGACGCTCTGGCTGCTGTTGCTGTGCTGGCACGGCAGAAAGGGCTCAAGGTGAGTGCGGTTGTGTGCGGTTGAGTGGGGTTGAGTGAAGTGGGGGTTGTGCTTGGAAGGGCAAGATCGAGGCGCGGTCGCTAGCGCTCAAGTCAATTCCGTTTCAGCTGCAGCAGACAGTAGAGGACGCTGTGGCTGCTGTTGCTGTGCTGGCACGGCAGAAAGGGCTCAAGGTGAGTTGGAATGAGTGCAGTTGAGTGCGGTTGGGTGGGGCTGAGTGCGATTGAGTGAAGCGGGCGTGTCAAAGGGCTCAAGGTGAGTGGGAATGAGAGTGGTTGAGTAAGGTTTCGTGCTGGCTAATGGAACCCCTCTCATACGTGCAGCTGTAGGTTGAGATGGATGGCGCGGTGCCTCGCATCGTGGGAGTCAGAACCCTCTCGCCTGCACCAAATGCTGCTTAACCTCCTTCCCTTCCGGCACCCCTCATCCCCCTCCGCCCCATCTCTTTGCAGCTGGAGGTGGAAATGGATGGTGCCGTGCCTCGCTGCATTGTGGGAGACCCTTCTCGCCTGCGCCAGGTGTTGCTCAACCTGCTCTCCTTCCGACATCCCTCATCCCTCTCCCTCACTCTCTCATGCACTGCAGCTGGAGGTGGAAATGGATGGTTCTGTGCCTCGCTGCATTGTGGGAGACCCCTCTCGCCTGCGCCAAGTGCTGCTCAACCTCCTCTCCAACGCCATCAAGTTCACCCACCAGTCCGTGCTCTCCCTTCCCCTCTTCTCCACCCCCTTATCTACCTCCTTCTCTCCTCTTATCTCCTCCCCCCATTCCACTTGAACCCTCTTAACCTGCTCTCCAACGCCATCAAGTTCACCCACCAGTCAGTGCTCTCTCCTTCCCTCCTCTTTCATTTCCTCTCTTCCTTCTCTCCTGGCGTCTCCTCTCTCCTCGCATATCGTTCTCTCCTCCCCTCTTCTCATCCCTTGTCTTTTCACTCTCCCACGCCATCAATCAAGTTCACCCAACCGCACACGCAAACAAAAAAAAAACACGGCCCCAATCCTGTTACCCTGTTGCCTCACCCAACAACGATCAGGGGATTTGTGAAGCTCCGGATTTTCACAGCAAACTTCCCAACGGAGGAAGACTCTCAGGATCGCGCAGCAGCGGCAGCAGCAACAACAACACCTTGCGTCGAGGCCCCTCAGAGCTCAACGGGGGGCGCACCAGACTCATCAGCGGTAGAGGCAGCAGCAGAGGCAGCAGCTGAGGAACTGCAGGGGGGAGACATGGAACTGGAATTGCAGCAATGTGGCTGTAGAAATGGCTGGGGAAAGCGCAAGAGGGTGGGCTGCAGCAGTGCGAGGGAAGACTGCTGCAGGAAAGCAGACGCAGCAGGAATAGCAGCAGAGAGGACCAGCGGGGAGGAGGGTGCTTGCACGGTTCTGAAGCGCAGCAAAATGAGTTCTGGTGGAGAGGAGGCAGGAGGGATTCACAAGGAGCAGGTGAGGGTGGAACTGGAGGGGAAGAGGCAAGCAGCGGCAGTGATGGCAGAGACAACCAGAGAGGACACACATGGGAGGGAGGATTTCAATGAGGTGTCCCGAGTGCCCGTTGATGCGTCTCAAGAGCCCGCATGTGGGAGGGGAGACTCAGAAGAGGAGGTTGCGTCAGTGCACTTAGAGGCAAATAAAGAAGCAGCATTTGGGAAGAGTAATTTCAAAGAAGAAGAGATAACAGTGCGGTTTGAGGTGGTTGACTCGGGCATCGGTATCCCCCCAGCCTTGCTCCCGCGCCTCTTTCAACCGTTCATGCAGGCAGATGAGTCCACCAGCCGTAGATATGGGGGTACCGGTCTCGGCCTCGCCATCTGCCACTCGCTCGTTACTCTCATGGGTGGCACCATCCATGTGTCCTCGGTGGCCAATCCACAACCTGCCGACCATGTGCCCGTGGCTGGATCTGCAGGTGATGCGTATGCAGGAAGCCGGAACTCCGTGAGTCCCACCAGCACATTCACTACTCTCACCAGCCTCATCAGCCCTACCAATCCCACCTGTCGCACTATTCCCCTAGCTGCTGATCCTACTGCAGGTTCAGCAGCCTCGTCTGATGCTGCTGATACTCAACCAGGGCATGGCACCATGTTCCGCTTTTCTCTGCCCTTTAAAGTGGCCAGCACAACTTGTGAACCTTCCAGGGTAGATGCTTTAGATCGGCTGGTTGAGCCCTGTGCTACTACTGCTCCCAGTTTGGCGGATGCCTGTGCTGCAACTGCTGTCGCTGCTGCTTTGAGTCCACTTTCCTGGTCAGTGCAAGAAAGTTTGCGTCTAGTGGGAGAGGGGTTGGATAACGTGGTTGAAGCAGAGAAACAGCAGCAGGACTCAGAGGGCGGACCACAGGAGCAGGGCAAGCAGCAGATGAATGCCAAGGAGGAAGCCAAAGAGAGCAAGGTTGCAGTCGCTCATCAATGGGGGATGCAGGATCCGCTGCGAATAGATCAGAACCATGAGGATGTTCATGTGATTTCATCCAGTGAGCAAGTTACAGGAGCTTCTCTACCAGTGAAGGCACCAGATTTGCTGAAATTGCCTCCTCGGTCACCACTGTCAGTCTCATTTTCTGGAGTGCGGTGTCTGGTGGTTGAGGATAACGCAGTGAACCGCATGGTGGTGGTGCGTCTGCTGCGGAGCCTGCATGTGAACAGTGACGTGGCTGAGAATGGCGTGCTTGCTGTCCAGGCATGCAGCAATAAGGAGTACGATCTTGTGCTCATGGTAAGCCTGCCTCACCCGATTGCCCTGATATGGACTGCCTTCTAATCTGGTGTCTGTGCTCCCTTGCTGTGGTGTTGTACAATGAGCATAGCTGGATTTCACATCCCCGCCCTCGAATCACTCCCGCCTCATCACCCCTGGCTCTATTTCTTTTTTGCAGGATGTCCACATGCCTGAAATGGACGGCTTTGAAGCCACCTGCAACATCCGGGCCCTCGAAGCACACCGGAGGGGTCGCAGACATGACAAAGGCATCACTGATTGCAACCAGGAGAAACTCAGGGAACATGGAGATATGTCAAGGCCGACAGGTCGCCACGAGCATTATTTCACACACCTGCTTCCCGAGAGCAGACCAATTATCGTTGCACTCACCGCCAGTGCGTTACAACATGAGCGTGAGAGGTGCGAAAAGGTGGGAATGGATGGGTTTTTGACCAAGCCAGTCCGGTTGCGGGACCTTGTTTCCGTGCTTGAGCCTCTACACTTGCGAAACCAAGTTGTGTGGTTTGATCAAGTGAATTGAAGTACAGTAGGCTACTTTGTCTACTGAAAGTGATAAATCGCCTACCGTAATCACCCGGATAAAACACCCGGGGGTATTATGATAAATACCGGGAAAAAATGGGGGGGGGTCTCCTCAACGGAAAGTCCTACATAATACCCGGGTCATATTATATAGTACATACTTTTTTAAAGCAGAATCGATGTGTTTCAAAATGTGGTGTGTGACTTCACTTCTTGTTTGTTAAACAGTGCCGCAAAACCGAGTATACGAGGATAACGTGACCGCCCACTGGACTCTGCCACATGGCAACTTCCAGTGGGCTAACTATGGACCCTGATTGGCTGGAAACAGAGCCAGCCATGCATAGCGAGAGTTCATGCAACTCCCGAGGCCGGAATCGCGCACGAAGCTGCATTGTCACTGTACCAGTCAAGACGTGACTGGTTTGGTCACGTCCCTGTCCCTCAAAGGGCTGTCTCACCTCCTCCCCGTGGAGCGGTTCCAGTGCACGTTACTTACGAGTGCTCGACAGGCTGTTAGAGCACCTCCGTCCTGCTATGACGGTGAAGAATGTGAGGAGTGGCATGCAGGGGAGGATGAGGAAGAGGAGTAGGCAGCAGTAGGAGAAGCACTATTGAGAAGAAACAGAAGTACCGTAGTAGGTTATGTTAGTGAAGCGTGCTTCTTGTCAAAGTTATGTTTAATATATATCCTGCGTGCTGTAGGTACTGTAGTTATTATTATTAAGAGTTGGTGGTGCACCTTCTTTGTTACTTTGCTATATGTACCTTGTGTGCTATAGTGAAACCCCTCTTTCCTTGCCTAAACTCTCTCGACACTTTCTCCTCTTCACCCTAGCATGGCTCCTCACCTCTAGCTACTATCTTAACATGGTTTCAGAGCTGCTTCTTTCCTAGAACCTTCATTTTTTTTTTCAGAAACATGGGCCCGCCCTTAATGCAGCGCGAAATGCGCTATTTTCTTCGTCCCGTCGCGCCCTGCGCCCGTCTGATTCGTCGCCCCGCGGCCCCCCATTTCGTCGCCCCGCGGCCCCTGATTCGTCGCCCCGCGGCCCCCCATTTCGTCGCCCCGCGGCCCCCGATTCGTCGCCCCGCTGCCCCCCCGTTTCGTCGCCACGCGGCCCCCATTTCGTCGCCACGCGGCCCCCGTTTCGTCGCCCCCGTCACCCCGCAATCCGCCAGCGCGGAGGCCAGCGCCGCGGCCAGCCGCCAGCGCCAGCAGCAGCTACCGCCGCCCCCCCCCCCCCCCCCGCCCTCCCTTCCGCGGCTTCCGTCGTGGGGAGGGGGGAGGGAGGGGGAAGGGGTTGTGGGGAGGGAGGGGGAAGGGGTTGTGGGGAGGGGGGGCGGGTGTGAGGAGCCTGCCACTCCTCCCTCCCTTCCCTCTTCCTCTCTCCCTGCAGCAACTGTTGCTGTAGGGGGGGGGGGGGAGAGAAGTGCAGAAGGGTGAGGGGGTGGCGGGAGAAGACAGGTGCGGCGGGTGTGAGGAGCCTGCCATCCCTCCCTTCCCTCTTCCTCTCTCCCTGCAGCAACTGTTGCTGTAGGGGGGGGGGGGAGAGAAGTGCAGAAGGGTGAGGGGGTGGCGGGAGAAGACAGGTGCGGAAGGTGTGAGGTTGACGGGGTTGAGTGACGAGGGGGGTGAGGTCTAGGGGGTTCTTAACGGGGGGGGATCGCATTGAGCGTGCGCGCTCATGCCCGCCTAGCCCACCTCCTCTCCTCATCGGGACTTGGGGGTTCTTAACGGGGGGGGATCGCTATGAGCTTTCGCGCTCAAGCCCGCCTAGCCCACCTCCTCTCCCTTCCCTCTCTCACCTCCCCTTTGTAAAAGGAGGTTCGTAAGCGGGTCCGCCGGTCCTGGCCCCCCACCTCCTCTCCTCTCCTCTCCTCTCCTCTCTTCTCCTCTCCTCTCCTCTTCTCTCCTCTCCTCTCACCTTCCTCACTTCTCTGCCTTCTTCCACAGCGCTTGGTTTGCTCGTTCAGGGGGTGCTGGCTGCACCAGTTTCTACTGCACGCAGGCTAAGGGGGTGTGTCAAAGTTATGTTTAATATATATCCTGCGTGCTGTAGTTACTGCAGTTATTGTTCTTAACTATTTGGTGGTGCACCACTGTGCTCACCTTCCCTTGAACTATATCATGTATCTTGCTCATTAGTGTAAGCCCTCTTCTTCCGTTTCCCTCGCTACTCTCATACCCCAAAACCCTAGTCTACTTAGGCTACTATTCTAACACTTCTATGGTCTACTTGCTGTGCGCTGCTCTAACTGTGTGAAATGTGACCTAAAATTGCACTTTTGCCGCACATAACACCCACCCCCCGGGTCTTATATAGGATCACCCCAAAAGGGGGGGTATAGTACCAACGGGGTCAAATATAACACCCCCCCCGCACAAGCTACCCGGGGGTGTACAATTCGGGGTGGGTGTTTTATCCGGGTGATTACGGTATGTTGTCTCTCAGAGGGTTGAGCATGACCAGTGAATTGCTTGTAAATTGAAGTACGGATTGCTTGTACCTGGTAAGCCTCAGTGTGTGCTGAGCGTGACCAGCACAGTAAGGCTTCACTGGTTGTTAGTAACATTCTAGACACCGGTAAGTGAAACACGGAATCTAAACTAAAAACTTCTGGCAGCTAGCCATCAGTACCTGATGGGGCTCACCCTGACCCGAATGCAGGAGCTCTGTAAAAGCCAAACATTGCTGCTGAACTGCTTCAGTCCTGCTTCATGAAGGAGAGGTCCTAACTCTCGAGCACTGCTTAGACGAGCTTCCAACTGGGAAAAACGGAAGTGCTGCTGCATAAACGGCACTCCCTATTTAGGATTTCGAAGGACGATGATGACGGAGTCTCCCCGCAGAAACATTTTACTGATGAATCGATCTTTATTCACTGGCTTAGCTTTCTTCTTCCCCTTCCCAGTTTTTGGAACCTGAAAAAAGAGATCGGCAAGAGATACGAGGTAGATGGGTCACAGGCATTCAATACCGTAGGTGGAACTTCCAACAGGAACAACAGATATTGACATTGAGATTGGAACAGACATTGCGGAGGGCTTACCTCTGTCCACATCTCTTTCACGTTCTCCAAAACCATGTTGCAGTGACGGTCGAAGGCCTTCACTCTTCCAAGCAATTTCCTGTTGTTTCTGCAGTTAATCAATACCTGTCAGAAAACGAACGACGCATGCCGGGACGTGAGAACGTGCATGTCATGAACGAACCACGCCTCTGCGACTTAATCATGGAAGGAAAAAACCCTGATTTGATCTAACCTGGGTATTCTGCTTGACACTCATAGTGAGCACGGATAACGGTCCTGTGCTGAATTCTTCTTCTTCCTTCTTCTCCGCCTGTACGGACGGAACGACGAGCGTAATGGCAATGGAAGTGAGAAAGCCATTTTACAACAACAAAAACTACGCGGAAAACGACGAATATACAAAATTACGCACCTCATCCTCGTCCATTGGTCGACTGCAGGAAAAGCCATCGAGACGACGAAATGAACGCAAGGCACATGGAGAAAACGGCAACAAGAGATAAGGCGTCAATGTTAATCGGCGACCTTCCGCTGAGACATACGGTACGTACGCAGCACAGACGGTACGAAGAAATAGACAAGGCTCACCTCATGGTGAAAGGCGTAGAAAAACTACCACTTTCTTGTTGTAGCGTGGAGATGAGATCGGAAGCGCTAAGAAAAAAACTAGGTCAATTCGCTTCTCGACGGGAAAGTTATCTGTGAGTACGTAGCCTAGTCTTCTCAGTGATGTCTACTCATGTCACGCAACGTAGGAAAGCACAGGACAAGCTTGTACTCGATATTGAGTTGAGGGTGGAAAATTAGTTTGTTCTCTTCTTTTTGGTTACAACAATTTGTAGTATCTGACAAGAGCTCAGACTGCTAAAGTTATTATTAAAACAGTTTTAGACACTCATATCACACCACTAATCATCTAATACAAAGCCATTCCCTAACCTTTTTTAACCCAACCGGCAATACCATGACTCAAGCCCACCACCCAAACTAACCTACCCAAAATACTCTACTTTCCAAAGCCACCAAACAGCTTCCTCAAGCCAGATGTCTTTTTCTTCTCCCCATCTGGCTCTGATCCAACCCACGCAGCCTCCCTCTCCCTCAACATGTCCAAATACTCTCTCTCCTGCTTCAGCCTCGCCTCCCTAAGCCCCTCGCCAAACCCCACAGCTGCAGGGCTTGCCGCGCCGGGGCCACCATGAGCAATCATGGGCGCAGCAGTGTAGCTCTGATGGGGTGTAGTATGTGCAGCAGTATACCCATAGGCATTGCTCATATGGATGCCGTTATTCAGCATCCCCAGCTTCTCCTGGCCCTCCAGGCTTCCCCGCCGCCCAGCAGCCACCCCACCTGCCTCTGGGAGGGACCCGTATGGGGAGTGATGTGGCGTGCTGGGGGGGTGGTGGTAGACTGCTGCTCCCCCAACATTCACTCCCCCCGCTGCTGCCACTGTGAGTGGTGCTGTTGTCGACGCACTGGCCTCTTTCCCCTTGTTCTCCTTTCCTGGCTTCTCCCTCTCCTTCTCTTGCCCCTGCTGCTGCTCACCGCCTGCAGCAGGCTCTGGTTCTTGGAAGGTCACAGTGCGACGGGTACGGCCGTTGGTGCTGCCATTGCCACTGTTTCCAGCAGCAGCGGTGGCAGCGGCAGCAGCGGTGGCAGCAGGAGCAGCAGGTGCAGCAGCTTGAGCCGCTGGCTCCACAGGAGCAACAGTATCTGTTGCAGAGGCTGACAGAGAAGCAGAGGCAGCAGTAGTGGACGCGGATGCTTCCTCCGAGATATCTTCAACGAGCATCACGTCACTGCTAGCTGCATCCGCAGCAGCCTGCTGCTGCTGTTGTTGCTTCTGGTCAGCCTGTTCCACTGGCGTTTCACCTGCCTCTTGCTTTGTCTCTGGCTTTGATCCGTCCTTTCCACTCACCGCGGTAGCGGTAGCAGCAGCAGCAGTGGAGGGAACAGCATTCACAATGTCACGGCTGCGTCCATTCGCCCCACCAGTCGCACTCCGTGGCCCCGATCTCGGGCTGGACAAAACTTTCCGCTGCCCGGGCCGGCTCAGGTCAGGGCTGGAAGGCCGTGCAGCGACTCGTCCAGCTACCCGTGAAGAAACAGCCGATCCACCACCAGCACCGCCAGCTGTAGCGGCAGCAGCAGCAAGTCTCATGGCAGAGGAAGCGGTATGCTGGGAAAGGGATCGGCTACCAGCAAGGGACCCCAGGGTACCTCTCGCAGCCGAGGCAGTAGCAGTGCGGTTACCAGCAGCACCAACAGAAGTAGAAGTGGTAGTGGTGGTGCGACGCCTCTCGATGCCTGAGGTGGAGGTGGAGCGGACAAGGCCTCCTCCTGCTGAGGCCCGCTTGAGGTGCTGCTGCCTAGCCTCCTGCTGCCGCTTCTTCTCCTCCTCCTGGACAAGCAAGCGGAAGGGGAGGCGATAGGGAAAAAGGGGGAAAGGGAGAAGGGTCATGCAATTCCACAGAACATGTATGGGGCAGCAGAGAAGAAGAAAGAGCGGATTTACACACCGTGGGCATTTCTAAAGGCGCAAAAAAAAAAAAGTCTCATACCCTGCGGCGAGCAACATACCCTGCGGCGAGCAGCCTCCTGCTGCTTCCTCTCCATCTCCATCAGAACTTGCTCCTGCGGATTCGTCGCCCGGCCCCTGCCACGTCCCGCGCCCGCACCAACAGCACTAGACGACGACATACTCCGCCCACGGGCGCCAATCCCAGCTCGCCCCGCCACACCACTCCCCACCACTCCCCGCCCTCTCCCCGCCCCTCCCACTCCTCGTGCTGCTCCCAGTCCCCCTGCGCCCACTTTCCTTCCCACGCCTCTTCCGGCTGCTGCTCCTGCGGCCCTCTCAGCAGCGAGACTCAGCTCCATATCGTCGCCATACAGAGAAGAGGACGAGGAGGAAGAACCGTCCGCCCCTCCTCCCACCAGCATCGCGTCGCCCAGGGACGCCTCCCACGCCATCAGATCCTCGTGATTCGACGGTCCAGATTCGTCCACAGGCCCACGGAGCGCATCTTCCCCCAGGAAGTCGCGGGCGGAGGAGTCTCCCCCCGCACCTGCACCTGCCACCACGCCCAGCATTTCCGCTTCCAGATTCGCCCCCCCATTATAAGACGCCCCGTTAAGGGAACGGGAACGGTCGAAAGCAGACACCCCTCCTGCTCCTCCTGCTGCTCCTGCACCCCCACCAGTGAGGTAATCAGGCGAAGGAGAGGAGGAGACACCAGACATGAGCATGAAATCGTCTGAAAACGGCCCAGTGTCAGAGCCAGCGCTGCTGCTACCACCACTGCCGCTGCCACTGCCAAATAGCACCCCGTCAGCTCCTCCTGCGCCCGCGCCTCTTGCTCCCGCTCCCGCTGCCGCTGTGTTAGGCTGCTTGAGGAACGCCTGAGTGGTGGGGTCGGCGAGCCAGTCCTTCCCTGCCAGCTCCCGCTCATATGCCCTCTGCTCCTCCTCCTCCTTCTCCCTCTGCCGCTCCTTCTCCCGCTTCTCTTGCTCCTCCCGCTGCTTGCTCTCCTGCTGCAGCTGCTGAATCTCCTGCTGCTGCTGGAGCAGCCGCTCCTGCTGCTGCAGCTGCATCTGCAGCTGCTGCTGCTGCCGCGCCAGCAGGTCCTGCAGCATCTGCTGCTGAAGCTCCGCCTCCTGCTGGTTCCCCGGCTGCATCAGCTGAACCTCCTGGATTCTCCGCATCAGCTCTGGGTCTAGAACCAACTGCGACTGCTGCTGCTGCTGTTTCTGTCGCCGCTGCTGCCTTCTTTCCCCTGCAAATCCCGCTCCCTCTACCTGCTCGTCCTCCTCTTCCTCGTCCTCATCATCGTCAAACTCATCTGAGCCTTCAGCAACAGCAGACGGGCGCACTAGCAGGCTTCCGCTTCCGCTGCGCCGGAGCATCCCCATTGCCCCTCCCCCGCCACCCCCCCTCCCCTTGCTCCAGCCACGGCTTCCAGCGAACCCCCGCCAGCGCTCCCCGGACGCCCCGCAACTCCCAGCACCAGCATCTCCGCATCCGCACCGTTCATCGCATCCACATCAACGGTGCTGATGAAACTGTCTGCTTCGGACAGCACCCCCGTATCCTCCCCCGCTCCGCCTCCGCCGCCCGCCGCTCCCCTTGCGCCTCCACCCCGCGCCCTTCCCCCAGGAAGACCGGAATCCGAATCATAGTACCGCGCGCTGCTGACGTCAGCGAGCTCCCCATTCCGCTCACCGTTACCAGCACCGGCGCCACCCGCGCCACCGCTGTTTCCCCACGAGCGGAGCTTGGGGGAGATGCGGGCAGCCGCGCGGTTCTTCCGCCCGCCGCCCCCCATGCGGTGGTAATGGTGGTGATGCACGCCGAACACCGGCTTTCCCCCAATCCTCACCGCTCCCGGCGGTCCTCCCCCCAGGCCTCCGCCGTTTCCCCCTCCGCGCCCGAATCCCGCCATGTCTGTAGCGCCGGAGAACTGGCCGGCGGCGGCTGTAGCGCCGGGGGTAAGAGCCACGAGACCATAGGGGAAAGGGGAGCCGGGGGTGTAGCCAGGCGAACCGGGAGTGTACATCGGTACGAAGGAGTACGGGCCGGTATGGGCGGCACCACCAACGGGTGTGCCTATAGCGAAGGGCCCACCAGCCGCAGCCGCTACGGCGCCGGCGGCGTCCGCAGTGGGGGAGTCTCCGCCGGCTTCGGCGGCCTCTGCGGGGTCGGCGGTGGTGGCGGCGTCCGCGGCGAGGGGGAGCCAGACTGCGGACACAGCGGCGGGGGCGGCGGGCGGCGGGTTGGCCTGAAGCTCGCGGCGGCGGAGGAGCGTGGAGAATTGGACGCACGCTTGCCTGGGGGAGGGAGGGGAATGGGAGGGGAAGAGCACATGGGAGGCTAGTTCTGAGACGTCTCAACCCTTGAAGCTCGCGACGGCGGAGGAGCGTGGAGAACTGGACGCACGCTTGCCTGGGGAGAGGGAGAGGCACGTGGTGGGCACGTGGGGGAACGTGTGGACACGTGGGATGAGGAGCGGGATGAGGAGAGGGGGACGGGCAAGTAAACGGTGAAACGCGTGTGGAGTGGTGTGCTCTCCTGAGTCAGTCAGGAGAGGCGCAGGGGGAACGAGTGCGGGGCAACCGGGGTAGAGTGGACCGCTCAATTTAGTGGATCATGCAAGTGAGGCGGAGCGAGCGGAGGGGGAGGCGCTCACTTGAGTCGCGGGGCGTCGAAGCAGTCGGCGAAGAGCAGCAGCGACGAGAGGATGTCGCAAGTGAAGCCGCCCGCTGCTGCGCGCGCCACCGCCACGTTCTGCTCGCGCCGCAGCATGCCCAGGCGCATGTGCATCGCCTTGCGGATGCGCCTGTCGGGGGCGGAAGCGGAAGAGGAAACGGGGGAAATTGGGTGTGAAAGAGAGAAAGGGGCGGCAGGGGAGGGCGAGGGGAGGGGGAATGGGAAGGGGAGCGGAAAAGGGGGGGAGGGAGAGAGGGGATGGGAGGAAAAATGAGAAAGGGAAGGGGGAGTGGGAATGGGAAGGGTGAGAAGTCGGCCGAGACCAAGAGAGCGCATACAGCGAGTGCTTCGGGTATACTGTGCATCGGCTTGCCGATGTGCTTACAACGAGAGTCAAAGCAGAAGATACTGAAAAGCAGAAACTACTGAGACGGGAAACGGTAACCACGTGATGAGCTCACAATGACTATTACACAATCACTACGACACTCACATGATAAGCTCGCCCCCCTCCTCGTTGCCGTTGCTCTCAGCCACTGTCCGGAGGCCGTTCTGTGATCAAATGAGTGAGGGAGAAGGATAGCGGAGGGGGAAGAGAGGGATAGGAACAGTGAGTGGACGTGAGTAGAACGTGTGTGAGAGAGGGAGTTGTGTGAGTAAGCAGGAAGATACTTGAGATGTGCGCAATAATGCGACGTTGTATCTCCTGTCGCATATCTCACCTGAATGAGTCGCCGGATGGGCGACGGCGAGCGAGAGCTGGAGCGTCGCGCACGCAGCGAGCTGTCGCGAGTGAGCGACATGCCACGATCGTCGCCATCGCCTTCTGGAAGAAAAGGATAGAGGAAGAGACGGGCAGCAACAGAGACGAGCAGTGGGAACGGGGGAAGTGAGAGGGGTAAACGGAGAATAAGCCCCACCGTTTCGGACAAAACGGAAGCGAGAGACTCTTCTAGAGAAAAGAAGACATGGATGGGAGATTAGGGGGAGAAAAGAAGACATGGATGGGAGATTAGGGGGAGAAAAGAAGACATGGATGGGAGATTAGGGGGAGAAAAGAAGACATGGATGGGAGATTAGGGGGAGAAAAGAATAACATTGGAAAGTCAGCAGCGCGGGAGAACATAGACCTGGTAGGCAGAGCAAGGAGGAGAACAGCAAAGCGCACAAAGCGTGGTGAACACGAAAGGCATGGTAGGGCCTTTATGCTCATGGACAGGAACATGATCCATAGTTGATTTGGAGAAGGTGCCGTTTAACATGGTATGATGGGAACGGTTAGCATGTGTTGGCATGCGCTTGCATGTGTTGACATGATCGACTGGTGGCGGCATTATTGCCGTGCATGCATGATTGGCATTGTGCTGGGCTGAGTGACGGCCAAACCTGCATCGGACTTCGAGTCGTTCTGAGGTCCAACGGTGCACATGGAGGGAACAGGACGGGGAGAGGGGACGGGATGGGGGGAAAGGGGAGGGGAAGGTTTTTTGAGGCGCCACAAAAATCATCCAACGGTGCACATGGAGGGTAAAACAGGAAGGGGAGAGGGGACGGGAGGGGACAAAGGGGAAGGGAAGGGGGGAGGGGATTGCAGGGAGGGATGTTGGGAGAGCGCAAACGACGGGAGAGACGAGAGACGTCTCAAGAGCGATACTTGAAGCGACTCAGCATTGTGTAGCAGTCATAGCGACCAGCAGCACAAGACGGCGATGACCACAAGCATTGTCGTACCTGGCCGTAGTCGGCGGGGGGAGAGGCAGAAGGATCGGCGGTGAGCGATTCTTCGAGGTGCAGCAGCTCCCTCTCGATCGCCACTGCGTGCTCGATGAGCCCCGGCGCGCTGATGAACGACACCGCCCTGGTGGGAGGGAAGCAAGGGAGGAAGAAATGATGGAAAGGAAGGAAGCAACGAATGAAGGACCGGAGAGAGAAATCGCGCGGAAGAAAGATGGCGGAAGAGGGTCGCCACGGCGTGCTCGATGAGCCGCGGCGCGCTGATGAACGACACCGCTCTGGTGGGGGACGAGACGTGAAAGGCGGAAGGAAAAGACGAGGTTTGAGTCGACGGTGGATATGACGACACCCTAAGCGTTGTTCACTGATTGGACGGTGGATAAGCCGTGGACCTTGTCTTTTTCCACCGTGTTCCTTGTGAACCACGCCATCAGTTCGTCAAAACCCCCCCCCGCCGTCCTCCTCCTCCTCCTCCGTGTTGACATTTAAGTCGGACCAAAGGTCAACTGGATACGACAGAATAAACCCTTACACTGTGGTTCTTGTAAACCACGCGATCAGTTCGTCAACATCCCCGCCGTCCTCCTCCTCCGTCTAGTTGATGTTTAAGTCGACTCAAGAGTCAACATGATACGGCAGAATAACGCCTTACCTCTCCACGGTGGTTCTCGTGAACCACGCGATCAGCTCGTCAACATCCGCACCGTCCTCCTCCTCCTCCGGCGGAACATATCCCCCTCGCAGCTTCTGCCTCTGAAGCTTGAGGAAATGCGCGCGCGTACGCGGGTCGAGCTTGATCAGGTGCGAGCCGCTGCTGAGCTGCTCCTCTACCGCCTTGATGTGGCTCGCGAAGGGCTTGAGCAGGCCGGACGAAATGACCGTTGTGCTGCCGTTGAGCGAAATGAGAACCTCGCACCTGCAACGGACGTTTAGATCAGATTGTCAGGGAACCGAACCAGAGGGGTAATTTTTCAAAGTTTAAACCCTTTTGTCCCGGTTCCCGAGTTCGATGAAATTACAGTGTGGATACAGCTACGCTGGAAGAAACTGCTGATGGCAAGGAATGTTGATGGAAAGTGTCGGGGTGAGCGTCACCTGCTTCGTGTCGGGTTAAGCGTCAGCTGAATGTTCTCTAAAATGGTAGCTTCCATCTTGAAGGTCGTTCGTGCGATAGGCGACGAAGCCAATGAACAGGCTAATGGATCATCTGTCTCCTCAACTACTCCGGAACCTGTGAGAAGTGGTCTTATACTATTAGTCCCCACGAGAACTGGCTGGAGCGATGGAATATAGCGAACCAAAACACTATAAAGAGTTCCTCCTCCTAGCACAGACTGATAACATTACTCGGACTGATTAGGTTGCAGGATAGACGAGCTAAAATGCCGTGTGTCAGTCTGAAACGTGGAAGGCGAAGGCATGCGAAGGAATGGAGTTGTGGAGGTATGTGGAGTTTTTCTGGAGTTCCCAGAGTTGACAGTGACGAGAGGGGCGGAAATGGTGATCAGAAATTCAGGCCCTTGGGCTCACACACACGGTACGAGGCTAGTCGCTATTCGCAGCCAGACCTCAAGGCGCCCGTAGCTGCCGAACCGAAAGCCTGACCAAATAGTGGCGACACAGTGCCGTCGTTGCGGTTCGCAAGGGCTTCCGCAGCTATGATGCGAAGGTGACGCTACTGCAACCCGCTGTGGCATTCCCGTCGCACACGTTCGTGTGGTTCTTGGCCAGCAAGGGCGAACGTGTACGACAAGGATGCGACATGCTACTTCGCGTTCCAAGCCTGTGATATTGACGAGTTCAGGCACGGTTTGTGCTCCAGAGTGGAGCAGTCTCGGGATGATGCGACTCGTAGTTTGAACCAGGTCACGGTAAGGTATTTCAAAATTGGCGGGAAATGTAAGGTTCGAGGCTAATCATGAAGCTCGATTTCTAACCGAGCCTCCTCCAGTTCAAGCCCCCGTTGCCACAGCGACGTGCTTGCGACACCCTTGGCACGTCGCCAAGGGCTGGATTGCTTGCCAAGCTCACCCCGGAGTGCCGATCAGATGCTTTGGGAAAAATCCACATCAGCATGATGGCATCCTTGCGTGAATTGCGGTTGAGGAAGATTCAAGCGGAGGAAACAGGTGGTGGTCAAGCATCCACCTGGAAGTCGAAGAGTCGCCAGGATTTATATTGCCTGCCAGGTTTTATTTCGCCCGCCACGATTTATTTCGCAAAATCTCGTTACACAGTTGTCACCATGCTTGAGACTCAATGCATTCTATAGTGCGCCTTGCCTTTAATTAGAGGTTTTTGTTAGACGTTTGCAATGTAAACATGTGAGTTGAGTAAACCATCACAAGCAAGGGTTGCGAGGTGGTTTGGATTGGTACCTGCCAGGGTAGCTTATTGGTCCGGCCCGTATGTCACTCAGCTCATTCTGCCATACAAATGGGACAACACCATCCTTCGAATGTTGTCCATCATTGTCCAATTACTCAACCATGGAGTAGTTAATGTATTTAAACAAGCAAACAATGTGATTATCTAAGTTCATCCACCTGCAGACAAGGGCCAGTCAGTGTCCACCAAGACCTCCGCTCGCCTCATCCTCCCTGCTTTCCTACACTTATCCTGCCACCATCATATCTAACACCTCTAACTCTAACGTCTACACCACCGCCAATGCTCATTCCTTCAACATGCCGAATCTCCTCATCAGCACCGAGACCTGCCGCTTCACTCTGCCTCCCTTCCTTCCTCATCATCCTTGCATCCTCCTCCTCTGCCTCCCTTCTTTCCTCCCTTCCTGCCTCACTCTGCCACTTCACATCCCCACCCCTTACATCATCATCCTCTGCCTCCCAACCCATTCCCATCACCACTCCCTCACTCATCCCTTCACTCCTCCCTTCCCACTCCTCCATCTCACCTCCCGCAATCCCATCCCCCTCATCCTCCTCTGCAAGCCAGTCCCACGGAGCACCACCCCAGTCATCCTCCTGCCCGCCTTCCCACTGCCTCAGCACTTGCAGTTCCCCCTCGTACTCCCCTCCGCCCACCCCCTCCCACTCAATCACAACATGCAGAGGCGAGTCCCCTGCAATCTCATGCACACGCACAAGTGCGCCACCACCTCTGGGAGAAGCAGCGTTCAAAGAAGAGCCACCGGTGGGAGAAGAGGCACCTTCCCCATGCCCTTTTCCATAACCTTCCCCGTGCACCACTGGCGCTACCAACCCTCCCACTATCTCCGCGTATCCCATCACTTCCTCCCCTCCCCTCTCATCATCCCCCTCCATAGGAAGATTCACCCCTCCCACCCACTCCCTATTCCCCTCCATGCCAGGACTGTACTCGTTACTGTCGAACCCAGTAGCTGCATACTCCCTCGCACTGTACTCATCAACCCAATACTTCTGCTCCTCAGCATCAACCTGCCGTCCCCAGTCTCTTTTCCCTGCTTCCACCCTCAGAGGCACCCCTACCCGCTGATACACCCCATTAGAAACCCCCCCGTTTGCAGCATTAGCAGCCATAAGCGCCAAACCAACAGTAACCCCAACTGCGCCACCCAAACCGAGCACCGTGCCGCCCAGCGACCCAAGCTGACCCAGAGGCCTGGAAAACAGGTTCGGATTGCCGCACACATTCCGGAGCAAGTCAGAGAACCCAGACGAAACCTGCCGAGCCATGCCGCCCGTAAGTGCATCAACGAGACGAAAGCTACTGTTTAGGACGGGACGGGCTAGGCGCTGCAGTGGCAGCAGAGGCAACGGGACCAGGCGAGAGGCAGAAGAAACAGAGGGAGGCTCGAGAGCTAGAGGATCAGGAGCAGATGCAGAAGGAGCAGGAAAAGTGGAGGAGAAAGTGTAAGGGGAATCAAGAGCTGAAGCACTGGTAGCCACACCAGCGGCAGCAGCAGCAGCAGCAGCAGCAGCAGCAGCAACAGGTGCAACCTGCGCAATAGTGGAACCATCAGCATTCGTTATCGCAGTGAATGGTTTCCCATCTACTTCCTCCTCTCTTACTTCCTCCTCCTCCACCACCTTTCGTTGCTCTCGACCAATCGGCAGCAGCGGGGGAGGTGAAGGCGAGGGTGAGAGTGGCAATGACGATGTGGAAGAGGGTGACGTGGAACAGAGCGGCATGGCGTCAGCAGATGCGTTTGACTTGCGTTGACTGGTGGTGGGTGTGATGGACTCACGAAGGTCTGTCTCCTTGCTCCTCCCATCATTGAGAGCTGCAGTACCATTGCTACCTCCACTCTTCTTGCTGCCACTGACACCGCCACTGCCAGTACCTCTGCTGCTGCCACTGCTCCTGCCGCTGCCACCACTGTCACTGCGACTGCCGCTGTCACTGCCGCTATCGCCTGTCCTCCTGCTATGGCTGCTCTTCGCGCTGCCTGGCTGCTGCTGTTGCTGTGCCAGGAGAGTCACTAAGGAGGAAGGTGGGACGACTGCGTTGGCCTTATCGGTGCTACCAGAACTGCAGCGTTTGTCCCTGTAGCGGGCATGAGGAGAGCTCAGGGCTGGGCCAGAATGGTGGCTCTGAGAAGAGTGATGGGTTTGAGAAGAGTGGCGGCTTTGAGAAGACTGGTGGGTTTGAGAAGGGTGATGGGTACGAGCAGAACGGGAATGAGGGCTGCGAAGGCTGTGCGTGTGCTGGGAACGCTGGGTGCGTGGGGAGTGTGCGGAGCAGCCAGAGCAGCCAGAGCAGACCGAGGAGGAAGGAGAGCGGCCGGGAGTCGGGAGTTTAGCAGCAGTCTCAAGTTTGTGCAACTGCGTCCGCCAAGTCACGGATCCTCCGCTGCTGCTGCTCCTCCTGTTGTTCTCGATATTGCTTCTGTTGCTACGGCCACTGCCAGAAGCAGAGTCCACAGCTGCTGCTGGGGTAACCAGAAGACCCGAGAACTGCCTGTCATTGTTCCGTGCTGGGGTTTCTTCTGCAACAGGATTGTCTGCCCCTGGCAGGATCTGGGCGACACTGGCGACAAAGTGAAGCAGTTCCTTCACCACCTGAGGAAATGGGAAAGAGAGAGAGGGAGTGGGAAGGACGAAGTGAAGTGGGAAGGGGTTTAGGGAAAACAGCATAAAAAAGAGGCGGTGAAATAAGATGATCACCTCAGGAATCGGAAGGAGTAGAGGGGCGGAAGAGACGCAGGGAAGAGGGAAAGGGGGGTAAGGGAGCTCCGGAAAATCAAAAGCCTAGAGCGTCTAGGTGGTTCGGAACGACAGATGACACAGAAAGCACGACAGATGACACAGAAAGCACGACAGATGACCCAGAAAGCACGACAGATGACACAGAAAGCACGACAGATGACACAGAAAGCACGACAGATGACACAGAAAGCACGACAGATGACACAGAAAGCACGACAGATGACACAGAAAGCACGACAGATGACACAGAAAGCACGCAGGGCACATGTGATGCCGACACCATTTTTGAGGCGCCTCAAAAAACATGTGATGCTGACACCACAAAAGAAAGCAGGGATGGGAGGAGAAACAGATGCCAGTGCTCGCAGGCTAGCCAGCATACCGCTTCCTCTCGGCCGTGATGGCTCTCCCCCTGCGACCACACCACGCGCAGCGCCATCTGCAGCTCCGCCGCTGCCCTTCTGCGCGCATCCGCGGCTGCTCTTCCGCGTTCACCTCCACGCGAGTGCTTCACCCGCTCTCCGCCCCCCCACTCTTGCATCTCCCGCCGCTGCTGAGCTTGCTCCGGCTGCCGCTGCTGCTGCAGAACCTGCTCCTGATCCATCAACCGCTCCAAACCGCTCTCGACCATCTCCAATGAATCCCGCAGAGCAATGAGCACTCGAGCCTCGACAGTACCCTCTCCCAGCCTCGAGGTTCTTCTCGAGCCCATCGCCGGCAGAGACAGCCGGCCGTGCTGCTTCTTGAGCTGCTGCTCATGCTGCTGTGTGTGCTGCTGCGTGTGCTGCTGCTGAAGGCCGGGAGCGTCAGGCTGACCTCGCTCCGACAGAGAGGAAGGAGCCTCTGAGCCGGTCTGCTTGGAGGATGAGCTGCAGGGACCAGCGAAACGACACGCACGAGGTACGACAAGTCAGCTTCGGATACGTCTGGAAAACATGTCCGGACCGGACGAATAGGTCTGGAGAATGAGTTCGGAGAGCCGATGCACAGAAAAAGTGAAAGCGAATCGTACAGGACAGGGGATCGGAGAGTTTGAACGCCTCGAATCAGCGAAACTGAAAGTCAGATGCTTACTTGTGAGAAGACGATGTGGACAGATCAAGAGGAAACTTCGGCGACAGAATAAGCGGGCTCGAGCTGACAATGTTGCCATGTTCTCGGGTTTGTGCTAGTTTCATGTTTTCACGTGCAGGTTGATTTGAATCAAGATGTATGGTGCTCGACGTCGGGTCTTGCTGGCTTGACCTAGAATGGAGATAAAAGCGGGATAGGAATCAATCAAATATACAAATGACGTGAGTACGCAATAAATGGGCTCAGGTACGAGTTATTAAATCAAGTGTTTCCAATCAAACCGTAGTATTGTTTGACGAGAAAGGAACGATACTTTGCAATTCCGGCGGGTTCAGCTATTGTGCATAGTTAAATCAGCAGTAACGATATCATGCGTGCCTGCTTTACCATGATCGCGCAGTTAAGGGAACCGACGCCGACGTCGCTAGAATGAAATCGCTCTGTAAGCTCCTTTCGATCGCGTCGCTAATGTTTTCGTGAAGGTTCGCAGCGCACCGAAGCAACTCGCAAAAATGCTGCTGATGCTCCATTTGATAACGATGAAGCTCCAGGCTCTTCGAGGCAAATGATTGGACACTAGAAGAAACGCCTCAAGCTAGCGGAGGCACTCTTTACCAGCACAAGGTCCGTGCGCTCATGGAAAAGAAGCAGCATATCTCACCTACGAAGTGCTTACAGAGAGGCCCATGATGGTGGCAAAGCATTGCTCATTTGCTAGTCCAGCTAATATGACACAGCTATTATGAGCTCGATAAGTATTCTCTAGGTTTTGAGCTTCTGAAAATAGCCCTGTGGCCTTGGGTATGGGAAGGGAGGGGATGTGTGGTGGAATGGAACTGGAAATTTTAACGAGGCACACGAAGGTTCACGAAACGGTTACTTCATGTGGTCGAAATGGTCGTCGAAAAGAGGGGTCGTCGAAAAGGGCTCATACACTAATTAAAAGCTGCCACATGGCGGATACAAGATAGCTCGAAATGCACGATCGACGGTGAAGCGCTGGAGCAGGACTAAAGAGGTGTCAATGGGCGGTGCGGATGGGCTCGCCACGTTTGCCAAGGGCGACACAACCATCGCACGTCCCGTACATGCGTCGTCCAGCGCCTACCACGTCCCCTAAACTGGTGATTGCCACCAGCGCTGCGACATCTAAATGTGCGACTGTCCGGTGCTCCGTTAGAAATTACAGCACCACTTCATATGCGCACTGTACAAAAGAATTACATTAGCCTTCATATGCGCCAGTAAACCCCTTCACCGTGTACACGAAGGCCTTATTTCACACAAGGCTTTTGGGCTATATGGCGGATAATGTAGGTGCACCATGAAAGCCACACACCGCCCTCCAATAATTGCCAGGCTTGTTTTTCCCGAACCGCGCAGACGGTCGGAAGACATCCTCCCTGCAGGTTCCAAATGTCGTGCCGTGCGCGAAGCTCGAAAACTGATTTCGCCCCAACCATCCTAGCCCCAGCGGGCAGACTGCTTTCCGCGTTGAAGTGGGGTGGGGGAAGAACTCATCAAGAGTCAACTACGACGGTGCAAAACGTTCGACTACGTTTTCACGCGGTACAGATTGTCTCACTGCGGTTTGAAGATGCACGCTGAACTCATGCTAGCAGTATCACGCCCAGCACAGCATGACCAGCCAAGGCAAGCAGAGCACTGTGACAACCCCGATGGTCGAGTCAGTGAGAACCACCAGCCATGGTGAATAATTACGGAAGAGGCTGAGGCTCATTATCAGATGAAGTACTAGCAGGAAACGAAATCGACCCGACGTACTCTTTGAGTACTTCCACGTTCTTCTCCGCTCGCCAAGGTGAAGCATTTCGTTGGATACGACCGTCGTATAGCGAGGAAACCCCCTGCCTCTAGCTCGCAAGATATAGAGCGCGCATAGAATCTGGCCGAATCTCGTCAATAGCACATTCTTCACAGTAATAAACATTCCACTAATCCCTGTGCCCTAAATTGATCCATTGCTCGCAGGCGTGTTACGATCACCAGGCTCTCAAAACTCAGTTCCTCCTGAATCTCGTTTCATTTAAATACTGAATCATTCTTAGCTTTCAATTCATCGGACCGCTGCTACCGGAATGTTCTGCGCGTGCTGCTGCGCGCAATGCTGCGAATCGCTCGGCTCGTGCTGCTGCGCGGCGTGCTCTCTGGGGACGTCGCGGCGCGTCGCCAAGTACATCTACGGCCTTCTCTTCCTCCTCGCGCTCGTCCTCATGTGGTGCATGCGGGACTTCGGCCACACCGCGCTCATGCATCTACCCAGTGAGTACTAGGCGTAGTAATGAATCGTGCTCTAGCGAGTCATACCGCGCGCGCCCTCTTCTCCCGCGATTGCGGGATTTCGGCCAAGACGCGCTCATGCATCTACGCGGTGGGTACTAGTACGCCTACACCCTTCGAGAAGTGTCAATTGGGCGACCAGGCGTGCACAGCTGTGGCCGTCGTCCTGTGCACGGGGCCGGGCATGTCTCTCGTCTTCGCCGTCATGTCCATTGTTAATATTCACTTCACAGTTATCCCCCCTCCTCCCGCCCGCAGGCTTCAAGGCATGTCAGCCGGGCGACCAGGCATGCACTGCAGCGACCGTGGTTCTGTGCAAGGGGCTCGGCATGTCACTCTGCTTCTCCCTCATGTCCTTGCCGTGACACAGTTATCCCCCCTTCTCCCACCCACAGGCTTCAAGGCATGTCAGCCAGGGGATCAGGCATGCACAGCAGCGACGGTGGAACAGGGCTTCGGCATGTCTCTCTTCTTCGCCCTCGTGCCCAATGCGAGTGTTCACTGCACAACTACCCCCCTTCCTCCCCACCCACAGGCGTCAAGGCATGTCAGCCGGGCGACCGGGCGTGCACAGCAGCAACAGTGGTTCTCTGCACGGGGCTCGGCATGTCTCTCTTCTTCGCCCTCATGGCTCTAACCACGATGGGAGCGCGCGTGGATGGAGGGGGCCGTGACACGTGGCACTCCGGCTGGTGGCCGCCCAAGCTGCTGCTGTGGGTGGCATTGCTTGGCATGACAGTCTTTCTTCCCCTTGGTGGGTTTCCTGGGCGAGTGAGCAAGAAGGTAAAGCGCGGTGATTGTGGGTTCAATGCGGTTAAAGCCATGTATGCGAGATAGCTTTTGGTCTCGTACTAACTCACCATTACCGCTGCATTTCCTACCAAAGACGTCCACTTATCCTTTTCCGCTGTGCCACGTCATCGTGTGCAGGCGTGCTGAGAATATACGGCTACGTGGCAGTGGTGGGGGCGGCAATCTTTGTCGTTATCCAGCTTGTCAGCATGCTGAACTTCGTCTTTGTGTGGAACGACACGTGGCAGGCAAACAAGAAATGGTGAGCTTGTTAAGAACTGGTCTCAAGTCCAGCTTCATGTGCACTTATGCACTCATGACATCACGCCTCTCATCATGCCATCATGCCTCCCATCATGCCATCATGCCATCATGCCTACCCCCATGCCATCATGCCATCATGCCTACCACCATGCCATCATGCCTACCCCCATGCCATCATGCCATCATGCCTACCACCATGCCATCATGCCATCATGCCTACCACCATGCCATCATGCCCTCATCTACATCTTCTTCGTCCTCTCCTCCCCTGTTCCCTCTTTCTTCTCCCCTTTCAACCGCTCTCTTTTCCCAACACATCTAACTCAGGCACGTGTTGGCAGCAATGGTAACCCGAGTATGATACCTGGTAGTGGCAGCAGCAGCCCTCATGTATTCCTTCTTCCTGCCCTCCTCCTGCTCTTCTTTCCCTCTCCTCCCACCACTCAGGCATGTTTTTTCAGCAGTGGTAACCAGAGTATGTTACGTGGCAGTGGCAGCAGCAGCAGCGCTCATGTATCTCTACTTTGTGTTCTCCTCCCTCCCCTCTTTCTCACCCTATCTGATTCCTCAGGCACATATTGGCAGCTGTGGTAACCGAAGTTTGTTACCTGGTAGTGGCGGCAGCAGCGGCCCTCATGTATCCCTTCTTCGTGCCCTCCTCCCCTGTCTATCCACCCCCTAGGCACGTGTTGGCGGCAGTGGTAACCGGAGTGTGTTACCTGGCAGTGGCAGCAGCAGCAGACCTCATGTACATTTTCTTCGTGCCCTCCTTTGCCCGCTCGCTCGACCTCTTCTTTCCCTCTCCTCCCTCCCCTCAGGCACATATTGGCAGCAGTGGTAACAGGAGTGTGTTACCTGGTAGTGGCAGCAGCAGCTGCCCTCATGTATTACTTCTTCGTGCCCTCCCTCTCCTGCTCGCTCAACCTCTTCTTCATCTCCTCGTTCCTCCTCCTCGTTCTCCTCCTCACCGTCGTCTGCCTCCTCCCACAGGTGAGTAATGCTCCCCTATTGGCTTTCCTCTTCACACTTTCTCGTGCTCTTCTTTGTCCTTGTTTTGTTCGCGCTCCCTCTTGCTCGCCCTCACCCTTCTCCTCCCTCGCTGTTGCCTACCCTTCACCCCCGTCTGCCCTAACCCTTTGCGCCCCCTACCTACCCCCGTCTGCCCTCACCCTTGTGTCTCACCCTTGTGCGCTCTGCCCCTGTCTGATCAATTGCAGGTTGAATCCACAGGGCTTCTGAGCACGGGAGTAATGGCGGTCTATTTTGTCTTTCTCTGCTGGTCAGCAATCATGAGCGAGCCGCCCGGAGAGATATGCAACACACGCCCAAGGCAGACAGGACAAACAACATGGACAGATGTTACGGTGAGTTCGGTGGTCCCCCCCCCCCATCCTAGTTCTTTTCCTCGCCGTCTCCTCAGCACGGACCTCTTAGAAGTGGCGAACAAATAACGACTTTTGAGGCGCCTCGACTTTTGAGGCGCCTCGACAGAACTCATGCCCATTCTAGTTTCTCTCCTAGCATTGCTGGATAATGAACGTTCATGCCCCGCTTACCTTGTTTCTTGTGCTGTGTTGTTTACCCTGTTGACAATTGCATCGATCCTTGTCCCCATTCCGTTCTCATCATTCCGCCCGCCCGCATGCTCATGGCCCCAACAGGCCTTCATTTTTGCCCTCCTCACAATCTTGGTTTCTGTCTACACTGTGGGGATCGACCGACGGTGCATCTCACTCCATCCAAACTCTGGGGAGGATGTGGAGGGCGCGGGAAATGGCAAAGTGTCATACGGACATGGGTTCTTCCATTTTGTGTTCTTAACGGGAACCATGTACATGACAATGTTGTTTATCGGGTGGGATTTAAAACAAAATCCGGCACAGTGGAGTTTGGATACAGGGTGGGCTAGCACCTGGGTTAAAATGGGGATTATGTGGTTTTCAGGAGCTGTTTATATGTGGGTTCTTGTTGCTCCAATAGTCATTCCTGTGAGGGATTTCTCAGCATCTGGGCATGTGACAGCAGGCTGAAATGTGCTAAGAGAAGAAATATTTTTTGCTCGCAGAAGGTCATCGATGCGTGTTAATTCGGTTGCTAAGTGAGCACATTTCTAAAATACTTGTGCGACTAATATAAACAAGGGTGGAGAATCCAACAGGTTCTAAGTGAGAAAGGGCAGGTGCTCTCTTGGTGCACATACACAATTGCGATTGCGGACCCCGAGCTGCCAATACCCTAAACCCTAAACCCCTTTCCCTCTGTCACACACCAATATTTGTTCGCCTTGAGTCTAGACGGGAACCTGCCTACTTTCCAAGCGATGAACATTTGCTTCATGCAACTTGAATGTGCACCACCACGGTACATGGAAACGAATAAGGCTTGTACCTGTGTCCATACTGTACTCTCTCTTTGGGCAGCATTTCCCCGTCAATGAAGTCTTGTTGACTTGCAACGATCACGAGTTGGCACGCTGTAATAACTATCTTGCCGAGCTGGCTGCTGCCAGCTCGTCAAAAGTTTTTGACCCGACAAGCGTGATCCTTGTCAGAGCGCGCTGAAACGCCAGCAAGGTAAGCGTCGTACGTGAACAGTTTCGTTTGACACCCCATGTCGTGCTCGAACAGTCGGTTCATCCGCCAGCACGGCTGTTGAAATGCTGATGTGTTCAATTTCCACCGCCAAGGTGTTGTCGTGAAGCGCAGTTGTGAGATCTGGCCCAACTAGATACAGTTGAATTCAGAAACTTCCTCGATACTGCTTAGCCCTAAAAATCCGTCAATTGTGGAGAATGGCCCAATCACCAATCACGAGGCCTTATCATCCCATCGTTGACTTGAAAGAGACGTGTGGTCATTGCATGCGTGGACGTGACCTCAAAGTCGCGGTTCGGGGGCGACGCGGCAAATCACTGCTTTGGCAATTTGGCTTGTGGTGAAGAATGTGCAAATCGTGTGGGTTTCATGAAACTCGTACGTCTGCCTTGGAGCCAGCGAGATTTACAACGAGGAGCAGCGACGGTCGGATGAAGAAATTGGGAGGTTGAGGGGGGGTGACAGGGGGTGACAGTGCTGTATGTTTTTTTCCGCCAGCGATCGCAAACCCTCGTCACTGCTCACTTTCCCCTCTCATCACTGTCTGCCCCCTCCCCATCCTGTCTCTCTCTCTCCCTCCTTCCCATTCATCCTCATGTGCATGGGCTTCGATTCAACATCCGTCGATACTGTATTGCACGTTGGGGAACGTCTTATCCCATGTCGCCCGCTTCCTCGATATCGTACCCTTCCCCTCTCTCCCCCACCCCCCCCCCTCCCCCACCCAAGAAACCGTTTGCTCAATTCAAGGGTTTCAGCAGCACTCCATTGGTCCCTCCCTCTTTCGTCCGTGAACAGTGTCCAAAAACATCCCTTCCCAGACCAGACCGGAGCATCATCCCTCGCACGTACCCGTCCGTCCCCAGACCATCTTCGTCGCACGCACCCCTCCCCTCCCGACCATTTTCCGCTCAATATGCAGCACCGCTGTGCAAAGGGGACCTTCGCGAGGGTTTCAACACTATTGGCTGTTGGAGAATCGAGAATCGAGACAGCACCACCACCTCTTCCAGAGGAGAGCGAGGACGAGTCATGATCTTCGTTGAAGCGAGTGCGCCGGCTTTGCCTCTTCGGTTTGGAAGTTCCATCCGATGGCAAGTCAGCTTTTTGTGTGAAAGTCCACACCACAATCATCCCCATCGCATGATACGACGCGACGAGTCGATGCTGTAAAGATCATCTGGCAGATGATAAGATCAGTGATCTCTCTACCAGACGGCTTTGTGCTTCTACCCTGTCGATCACATCCCCACTTTTGAGTCTCTGATTTTTTTTTTTGGAACGATCGTCTCACAATCTTGAGTATGTAATAACGCCGTACTAGCATCCCGACACGATTCGTTGATTCTATAGGTTCCCGTTTGGGAGGGTAGCTTCCCCTTCGTCCGGAGACATTCTCCTCCCGCCGTCGATTGCGGGCGCACCTCAGGTGCCGCCGCAGCCGTCATCGCACCGCGTGCGAAGGATTCTCAACGCCCAGTTGTCCGCGACGAGCGCTTGCGGAGGATTCTCGCGACTTTTCAACGCTGCCGCCGATCTTCGAAAGATTCTCGCCGAGTCGGCACGTGGCACGTGATGTGCCAGCCCATCATGACAACTCTCACCTCTCCGCGAAGCGGATACGGCGGCTCCGGCGACCACGGTGAGGGCTACTACTGCGACTCGGCCTTAAAATCCCCACCTCATGACTCGCATCGCCTCGGCGGCGGCGTTGGCGGCGACGGCCTGTTTGATTCGCCGCGGCGGCCGCAGGCCCTGCCAATCCGGGACTCCGAGTCGGAACCTTCGTCGTCCCTGGTGATGACGGGGACGGTGACGATGACGGGGATTGGATCTTCTGAGAACGACGTCAATACACCGATGACGATGACGGTGACGGTGACGGGATCCGACTCAAACTCGCAACACCGTTGTGACGAGGACGCGCTTTGGCGCGGCGCGACGAGCACGAGAGTGAGTTTGAGTCACAACCGCACACCCGAACCGCCGCCATTTGCGGGGGGGAGTTTTGTCACTGCCGTCAAGAACCTTCTAACTTCTGTTGTACACGACCTTTCTCTTAACGGTCACACACACACACACACGTGTCCCCAATGCGGCTGCAGGTTCCGCGTGCTCCCTCGTCCGCACGATCGCGGATCATTCCAATGGACGAGATCAAAGCGCACTTCCACATGCCTATCAACG